ATGTTGGCAATTTGGTTTGTTCCAACGGGGTCGAGCCGTCGCAGCGACAACGTCAGGTCAAGGAAGGCGACTGGGCGGATGGAATCATGGCGATTTGTCGAGTGTTTCCCCCTTGTTCTTTGGCGAGTCGACATTGTATAACACGATGGAACACGGCTGGAATTCCGTGCCCACAGCCACAAGAACCCTCGCGTGGCGTGTGTGTGGGTCATGCTGTTGATGCGGCTCGTGCTTCCTCTTGTGCGTCCTTTAGCTTACGAGTCGATTGGTGTGAGGCATGCACAGATCGGCACGAGATGAGGTCGGGAGAATCTCGTGGAAATATCGGTTTGGACGATTGCGCACTGGGATTTCATTTCTGCTTCAAATCAAGACGTCGCCATGCGAGTACATCGACGATATGGCCATCTTGACTCATGCAAAGGGGCGAGGGGAATTCCAACTCGACGGAGGATGGCCGCTAGGGCTCACTCTGCTGTCGAAACGCGAACGCATAGGCTGGACACACAAACCCGAAAGAGGTGTCGGGACTTGTTCTGGATGCCAATCGAATGGAGGCGTCGGCATGGTCATCTCGACCGACATGGCAGATGACGAATCCCACGGACAATGGCTGCCCATGGTCACGAGCATGACTGCGATCTATTTGCCAACAATTTGCAAGGACGACTGCATTAGAGCTTTCCTTGCTTCCTATCGACTCGAACAACCTACGTCGTGGCGCCTGCAGTGGTCTTAAAAGAATACGCGACAGATTGGCTGTGCAACTCAAACCCGACGTTCTGGTATGCCTTGTTCGAGGCTGGGTTGGCAGCATCGGCGAAAAGGCACACGCGCGAGCTTCGAGACGAATTCATCGCTTGCAAGTGCTGGCTCAGAGCTGCCGTCAGACCTGACGCATACCCCTTGCGTCGCTCCGTCGATGATACAAACACAGGGCCGATGCGGTACACGGTTTCGCCTTCGACTGTGACGGGGGGGGCAAATCCGGCAAAGCCTACTGGCTTCCCCTCTACCTCCCATAGGAAGATTGCTTGGCGCCTCAGTCCGGCGGCTGCAAAAGGAACGGCATCTTGCGCAGGGGCTCCGATGTATTCAAAGAACTCAGTCGACCAGGCGGTGACAAGATCCGAGTCGTGTTCCGCACTTGCAACGCGCATCGTGCCTGCCACGGACAAAGGAAGTCGCAGCGTCCCCAGGACATACAACAGCAAATTTTCCTGCCAAACTGGAGTGGTCAACGAGCGTCGATTGCGGCAATACGCAGCATTAAACGCTGTCGTAGCAGCATTGGAACCAGTGACTTCGAACAGCAACGGCTCCACCGTGATTGCGACATGTTCGCCCACCGCAGAGGCTTCGTCGGGGGTCATGGCGGGGCTTAAAAACACCCCACGGGACGTGCTGTACATTGCAAACGCCTTCACAACGTTGCATTCACGGGTGTCATCGACGGCACCAACCACAAAGAATTGAATTCCGTCAGGGGATCGCGCGCCCGTCGCAATGGCAATCGCGATGCTCGCAATTTGGTTGGTACCGATTGGATCGTGCCGGCGCAACGACAGCGTGCGGTCGAGGAATGCTTGTGCGTCAAGAATTGCTTGGATGGTTGGGCTTGTTGCGGTCATGCTTGCTTGAGAACTGACGTCGACAGAAGTCGACAAAGTGCACAGGCTGGGGCAGGTTCCGCTTCGCACGTTGACGTGCACAAGGCGTACGCGCCGCCACATCGACCACATCTTTTTGCTACTGAATCGAGGAAGACGCCAGGAACCTTCTTCATTACAGGGCGATGAGTGCTGGTCTCTCTCCGGCGCTCTTATTGGCTGCACACCATGGAATGTATGTGGATTTGTGCTTACGCGGGAAGATCAATGTGGACGAAGGGGCGCGAAGCACGCGGACGACGAAGGCCGCGTCCGAGTCTGGAGGCATGCACAGGCATTGTGACGTTGTTGAAGAAGGCAAGGGTGGAGACGACATGTAGATATAGATCAAGGGGTTGTTGATTTGACGCGGTCGGCTGTGATCGTGACGTGGTCATGCAAGGCAAAACCGGCGTTTCGAATCGCTTTGTTCGCAGCAAGACACTCTTGATCGACGTTGACAACGACTCGGCATGACGAAGCCTTGATCGAGTCCTGCAAGTGGTGGCACAAGGACGCAAGCATCGCAGTGCCATACCCATGCCGTTGTGCTGACGAAACGATATACACAAGACGGACCTTTATCACGAACCGATGGCCACCACCTACTTGAGTTGGCAACGTGTGGTCAATAAACCCCACAGGGTAGCCATTGATATCCCAGAGAAACAGCGTTTTGTGCTCCAAGCCCCTGGTGACGTGTTCTTGTATGTTGACGGAGGATTCGCCGAGGGAGTCCAAGGCATGGGTACACCATTCGACGAGCAATTCGTAGTCCAACAAAGCATTTGCCGCGCGCAATGTGCCCCGAACATGCTGCGGGACGCGCGGAGATGTGTCCAAGTAATACATGAGCATCGTGGCCGTTGGGCGAAACTCGATGTTTGGTCGGTGCTGGCAATACCCACGCGCAAAGGCGAGGGAGGCAGCGAGTGGTCCTTGTATGCGCGACAGCGTCGCGAGCGAAGCCACTCGTGACAAGCTCTTGCCAAGCGACTCCGCTTCTAGTGTCGACATCAAACGACTGATGGCAACACGTTTCGGCGACACGACAGCGTACGATCTGGTGGAAATCGTGCCGACGTAGCACTGCGTGGGCACGTGCTTCGCCGCGAAATAGTCGTCCAGCGTCAAAAGAATGCCAAACGGGTCGGCTTCGAGCAACGACGACGTCAGCGCAGCAAAGTCGGCCGCGTTGTCGATCTCTTGGATGAACATGCTGGCGATGAACCTGTTGAATTGACAAATACCCATCAGATCACAGGTGCACTCACCCAAGAATGCATGTGCCTGACCTTCCGATGGAGATTTGGCGCATTACATGCGGCAGCGCCATGGAACCCTCGCATCCTCACGCGCGAATTTCGCTCTTCGTCGACAACGTGTGCCTCCCCCCTTGACATTCGGCGCAGCGTCGCTATATCAATGTATAGCCGAGCACCCCCTGGTCCCAGACAGAAAGTTGAAAGAACGAGGAGGGGATGCCCTCTCGGCGCAGGGAAACCACGAACAGACTCGATGCTCCAGCACCGGTTGGCGACAATGTTGGGGGTGAGTCTGGTTTTCGTTGTGGCAGCAGCTATTTCTCTCCGATATGTACTGACACGATGCGTATTATTCGATCACGAGCTCCTTATTTGACAAACGTGTACACTCCAACTTCACTGTGCTGCACAAACCCTACATTTTGGTACGCCTTGTTGGACGCAGGGTTCATGGCGTCGGCAAAGAGCATCACGCGCGACGGTATGTGGCACCCATCTTGCAAATACTGGCTCAGGGCCGCAGTCATGGCGCTGGAATAGCCCTTGCGCCGCTCTTGAGGCGTGACGTAGACGGGACCGATGCGGAAAATCGTCTCGCCGTCGTGGACGACAGGCGGGTGGTACCCCACAAAGCCAACAATGGACCCGTCCACGTGCCACACGTGTAGCGACTTGCGCTCCATGCTCCGCCTGTGGAATGGCTCGGCCATCTCAACGGGATAATGCAGCGCATCACAGAATTGCACAATCCATGCTTTGAGAAGGTCGCTGTCAGCGTCCGTGGCTTGAAGCAGCGAACCGTTGGCAGGATTGGACTTGAGGGTTTTCAGCACGTACACCAGCAGTGTTTCCTTCCATTGGGGCGTCAGTGCTGGACTTTGCGCCTTGCAGTAGCCTTCGTTGAAAGAATGGATGGATGCGGCAGGTCCACTTGCTTGTGGTAGCTGGTTGATGGCAACTTCCGACACGATCCTGCCCAACGTGGCGGCATCCGATGGACTGAACGTTGGACTGAGGTAGATGCCAGTGAGGGATGTCCACATCGCAACGGCGACAATGCAGTTGCCATGTTGAACGACCCAAAAGCGAGTGTCTTCCTTTGGCAGGTCGCCCGACGCCGTGGCATGCGCTCGCGTTCCGATTTGATTCGTCCCAATTGGATCGCCTCGGCGCAACGTGGACGTCAAGTCCAAAAAGTGCGATGGGTCGAAAATCTCTTGGATGGATGTCGCCATCCGCGACGAATATGCAAAATGCCTTTCCTGGTCGGTCTCCAAGGAATGTTCCGACCTGTTCCGCAACACGGACCATCACTCCCCTCGACGAATGATGGGCCTTGTCGCTGGCGTCCACACGATGGATTGTGTGGTTTGTACGCGCCGTCCACTTCCGACGAAGGGGAACCACAAGACAAAACAGGGCAATAAATTAAGAAATAGGGGGATACCTAGCTTTCTTGGACGTCAACGGGATGGTACGGCCGGTTGCGAATCTTGCCAAGGTCAAGGAGCTTGCGCGGTCCAACTGTGGTGGGAGGTCGCCCGCCGACGTGTGTCTTGAGTGAAAACGAATCGGTAAACACGGGGGGCGTGTATCGTTTCAACATGAGCGACGACGAAATCACAGAAATCGACGACAGCGCCATCGCAATCCCAGCACACGCCGGGGGCAGCATTCGGTGGAAGAGCGGGAAAAACACCCCCGACGCCAACGGAATGCTCAGTAGGTTGTAGATCATGGACGCAAACAGGTTGATCTTGATGCGTTGGAAAATCACGCGAGACAAGTCGAGCGCGGTCACGACATCACGCAAGTTGGACTTTACAAGCACCATGTCAGCTTGAGCGAGCGCAATTTCCGTCCCAGCACCAACCGCAAGGCCCACATTGGCCTGCGCCAGCGCAGGTGCATCATTGATGCCATCACCGACCATGACAACAACGTGCGGTTTCCCCGTGCGTTCGTTCGTCTGCGATTGAATTATCTTGATTTGCTCGACCTTTTGGCCGGGCAGCGCGACCGCCTTGACATTTTCAATGCCCATTTGCCGCGCGACCGCTGTTGCCGTCCGCGCATTGTCTCCAGTGATGAGCCAAATCTTCGTGCCCATCCGCTTGAGTTGCGCGATGGTTTCGGCCGCCTCTGGGCGGGCCGTGTCGGCCAGCGCAATCAGGCCAGCAAATTCATTGTCGAGCACAACGCACACGACGGTTTTGCCTTCGTTTTCGAGCTCCCACATGTGCGCTTCCATCTTTGATGGGATTGCAATCGCTTGTTCTTCAAGCCACACCGAATTACCGACCGCGACTTTAATCGTGGCATTAGATAGATGTCGATGGGGCACGGTCGCTTTGAGCCCGCGACCCGGCACCACGTGAAAGTTGGTCGGTTCGTGGAGCTGGAGCTGTTCTTGCTCCGACGCAGCAAGAACAATCGCCTTGCCCAGCACATGCTCGCTCTGTGTTTCCACGCACGCGGCGTAATACAGCACGTCGCGAGCGGTGGCAGCCCCACCTTCAGGCACGACGACTTCCGTCATCGAGGGATGGCCCACGGTCAATGTGCCAGTCTTGTCAAACACAACGACATCCGCGGACCGCGCAGTCTCAAGCGCGCGCCCACCTTTGATCAAAATGCCATACTTGGACCCGACGCCGGTCCCAACCGTCACGGCGGTAGGGGTGGCCAGGCCCAGCGCACACGGACACGAAATCACAACGGTCGAGATGCCAAACAGGACCGAAATGAACAAATCGTCTTTGTGGTCAGCGTTCGCGATGCCCATCGCTTCCTTCCATTCGACTGGGATGACGTTCATCGACAGCAGCACGTACCACGTAAGAAACGTGATGAGTGCCACGACTATCACAAACGGCGCAAACCACGACGCAAACTTGTCCGCAACCGCCTGGATTGGAGCCTTGTCCATCTGGGCGTTCTCAATGAGTGCACAGATCTGGCTGAGCGTGTTCTGGCCACCGACGCACGTCGACTCCATCACCAACAACCCGCTCTGGTTGACTGTCGACCCAAACACAACATCGCCAACTGACTTGGTCACGGGCATAGATTCCCCCGTCAACATGCTCTCATCGCATGAACTCTGGCCCTGCACGACAACGCCATCGGTCGGGATCCGGGACCCCGGGAGCAACCGGAGTTTGTCGCCGCGTTGGACAAGTTCAATTGGAATACTGCGGTCTTTCGGGGCGACCGCCGGCCCGTCTCCTGCCGCCTCCATGGACTCGATCAACAGCGCATGTTTGGGCTGCATGTTGACCAACACGCCGAGACTCTGCGCTGTGTCATTCTTCGCCTTGGATTCCAAGTACTTGCCAATCGTGACGAACGAGATCAGCATCGCAGACGACTCGAAAAAGTGGTGGCCATGGAACGTTGGGTTCACGATGCATCCGACCATCGTGATGAAGCTATACAAGTACGACGACGTCGTGCCCACGACGATGAGAAAGTCCATGCCCATCATCCCGTGCTGCAAGCCCTTGTACGCCGCCACATAGAATCGCAGCCCAATGCCAAACTGGACCGGCGTCGTCAGCAAAAACATAACAAGGCACTTGAGCGTGAGGGCGTTCACGACCTTCGACATGAGGTACATGCGGCACGCGGGAATCCAACCCAAGACCATGTGGACAATCATCGCCGGGAGAGAAAACACCAGACAAATCTGTAGCAACCGCTTCCACTTGGCGCTTTCGTCCATGTCGCCTTGGTCGACGCTCTTCACCTTCACCGACACGTTGTACCCAGCAGTCGCGATTGCATCCAGCACGGTGCGGGGGCCAGTCGCAGATATTTGCTTGAGGTGCACTGACACAATCGAACCGTTGACGGAGACGCTTACGATTCCCGGCAGCGCCTTGACAGCATTCTCCACTCCATCCACGTCGACGGGACTATCTAAACCCTCGACAACGTACTGAACTTCGAAGCTGTCGTCGTCGCCGTCGACTGTGTTGATGTAGGTGGCACCGTACCCGGCTCCACGGATGTAGTCACCGATGATAACCCCTTCGTCGCGGTGGATGATGGCTTTGTCGAATGCGACTTCGGCCTTGGCGCTGATGAGTCCCACTCGGCAGTTCACGATGCCTGTTTTGTGCCGCAACACGTCTTCGATGGCTTTTACACAAGCGGCGCAACTCATGCCATCGACTTTGAAAAATGCTCGAGGATGCGATGTCTCTGCGATTTCGATCGTGGTGCTATGCCTTTCTTCATCCACTAGAGCGGCCTTAGCCTTGGCCGCCAGGCGTCTCCGACATCGTTCTCCATGGTTGAATACGTACGCGTCAAATCCAACGCACTCCACCGAGTCGATCAAATCCTGTTCCGTGACGATTCCAATGTGTTCTGGGTCGATGGTAATCGTCGCCATCGACTTGTCGTAGTCAACAAAAGCAGATTGGACACCTTCCTGCAGGCGAAGTGCGTTTTGGACAGTCGTTCCGCAATTCTTCATACACATCATGCCGTCAATCCCGAGTCGGATGACATTCCGTGGCTGGATATCGTGAGGGGATCGATATCTCGCTTCAAATCCCACCATGTCCAATACGTCGATGAGTTCGCTCGGGTCGATCGAAAAATACGGGAGAACCATGACGGTGGCAATGTGTTCCGTGTAGTTGACGACGGCGGATTCGACGCCGTCCACATTTTTGAGAGCATTCTGCACCGTCGTGCCGCAGTTCTTCATGCACATCATGCCTTCCACCTCAAGTACGATGACTTGTTGCGTCGGGAGGAGGGTCTCTTCCTGGTGGACTCCCTCCATCATGGTCGTGCGCGGCCGTCGAATGAATTTGCAGAATGCAGAGCGGGATGGGGCGTTTCACACAAACCACCTGACCAAGTTATGTTGAAATTTGTATAGAAAAAACTGCACCCACGTGCATATACTTGAAATTTGTATGGACATTGTTGCGGGAAAAAAACACAAGGGAACTCCAATGCAATCTTCAGAGTTCCATCAACGGGTGTGGGACATTGTCTGCGCTGGCGCTACACGGACTCTCGATGAGTGGATGGAGCTTTTGACAGCGGCAAGATGCACTTGGCCCGGGGGGTGGGGCTCCGACTGGGACGTTGCTCGAGAGCGTGCTAGGTATTCATATACCGTTGAGACAAACACGAGAAAATAGGATGGATCTCTGCCGGAAACAGCAAGTCGACTATAAGGCCACGAGGTGCGCGAAGTCAACCTCCACCATGCACGCGTGGGCTTCATAGTCCCCACGCACCCCACGAGAAACGACAAAGTGTCGTGCTGCTGTGGCGTGTTCACTCATAGGCTGGAAAACGAGATGCCCTCAGTTGTGGGGTGGCCCTTGCTACACCTCTTCACGACGTCTGTGTCTGGCATGCTTTTGGCCGAAGCCGTCAAGTGCTCCGGCTTACTAGTAAACCATCACAGTCGGACAATTTTTTTTGGACTATTTTCGGCAAGTACGTAAGAGACTTAAGCGAGATAGTTCGTGAAAGTGCGATTGAAGTGATGTATTGACGACGCTTTTCCTGACGAGAGGACATGATGGACGATTGGTGACATGCACACTTATAGTTTACTCCTCGACAAGACTCCAACCTGCAGGAAACGATGCACACGACGCCGCCCTTGTGTGCGCAATGACAAGATGCGGATGCTCGGTCACGCTAGCAAAATCGTTCTTATCAGGGCTTGTACAATACAATGGTATATCCGTACATCAAGTGAAAATTTGTGTCAAAAGTGTGAACATGTCCGAAGGGCGATATTCCTTCCATGTCAAATCAATCTGTCGAAATTCAGATGCGACGGCGTTCGTAGCTGGCTCCGCTACCGAGGGGAAAGCATTTGAGCTTGTCTCCATCAAAAAGCCCATCCCGTACAAGCCTTCATGTTGGGCAATGCGACGTCCTCTAGACTAATTCATACTGATATATGGCTCATGGCTTGGTGCTGAGGGAACCGCCGTCTGAAGCGAACTCCGACAAACAAGTGCTGGCTGTTGTTCACGCTGTCGCCCAACAGGCCTACCTGGTGCTAAGCTGACGAGATCACTCCTTGAACGGGCTCTTTGGTACATTCCCAAAGCACTTGCAGTGCAGCAAGCTTAAAACCACGAGTGCTCCTTTATGCACCAACGCCACCACGGTCTGGAGGTTTGAACGTCCTCGGGGAGAGTTGTGCTTTGAGGAAGAACGAGTTGACGAGAAAAGGGGTATGGAAGCAGCACGAGTGGGTGGGGTATCCGTGGCGCATTTCCAGACATGCTTGTATGACGGTAGCGCTGCTTGAAAGAGATCAGTGTGGAGCACAACCAACTTGGAGCGCTCGCTCAACGAAATCACATGTCGATGTATACATCCACTTGAAAAGTAGAGAGATAACAAGCTTCATTACTTCGCAGCCTTCTTGCTTTCCTTAAGGATTTGGCAACGCTTCTTCCATCTGTACACGACGACACGGCAAAACGTAAGACCACGATGAGGAAGAGGTGATGTGCTCGTTCGTACTCGTCGTATTGGCACTTTTCATACGCATGTCGAAGATCTTGGCACTTCCACGGCGCGAATGCTGTTTCTCGGCGGCATTCGTTCAACGGAATCAAAATCCCCCCGCACTGGTCGCGGTACGCAATCGGAACACGGGCATCCGCGAGGGCTTGGCGCGACGCAATTGTCGAGGCTACGTCACATGTATATCCATCATGAGCACCGTCCTGAGTTCCCATGAAGCCTCGCTCCCGCCCTAGTCTCATCTGTACCTTCTTCGCCGTGATCGTGATGTCCGTGGGCCATTGGGGAAGGAAACGGTGAACACAAATGCACCACACAACCAGCCACCAAAGTATACTAACGTTTGTATTGGCATTTCCGGATACAAACCGGAGAGTGTCTGGTAGCCTGGTATGATTTATCACAGGAACTGTCTACGTTGCATACATTGATTTTTATCCAGTATCTAATTCAGCAGTACCCTTCAGATATGCTTCTCGGAGTTTATCAAAATAAACGGTTTTTACGACACAGCTCTATTCCAACCTGCCTGCATTACATAAACGCTGCCTATCCGCTGGAATAACCCCAGGGTGTCGTTGGCCCACGGACTTGGTCCGCGCACGGATTTGCACCTCGATGACACCGTCAAACCGTTGGGTAGAAAGCCATGTCGCCGAGGTACAACGCACGGACCCAACTGCACATCGTGGTCCTTCGATCACATTTCGCCGTCCTGGATTGGTGACCCATAGGGTCGCATTCCCACCGTGGAACTGAATTGCTGCTGTGGGTTGGTCGACATCACGCGCTGTGATTTGCCAGCGTCCACCCCAACTCGACAGTGACACGGCTGCCGTCACGGGAGCACTTCGAAATCAGGTCCACCCAGGATTTCGTGGTCAAAAGGCGCCATTTTGGGGCCGATCCGCCTTGGCCACCAGTGTCGACTCGACGACTGGCAGTCAATCTTTTATGGCCCCCCCATGAAAAATCCAAAGACCCCCACCCCCCCTAAGAAGTAATTCCGTCTTCTTCGGTGGCAGAGAAATCAGAATTCGTTTTTCACCCCCCCTTCCCTCCCATGCCCCTACAGTATTTTGGTGACAACCACATCGAAAGATATATCGACGCGGGTCATTCTCCATTTTGCCGACAACCGTTCGGTGCATCATGGACCCCGTCGCGATTTCAGCTCTGTGCTTGGATGAAATCCAAACGTGGAACTCCCAAGAAGAAGCCGCCGACCTTATGGTGCCGTTGATCGGCAACCTGTACCGCCGTAAGAATATTGTCACGACGATTTTTGGCAAAGGCCTTGTCCACCAAAACAGCATCGACATCATTAAGCTCCACTCGTATGTGTGCAAGCACGTCGGCAAGGAAATGATGCCCACTGATACCCTCCCGGTGCTCCAAGTCATCACAGAGCTCGACTCGTTGGGCGCGACTCGACTGGATTTGGGACGCACGTACTTGCTTGTGTGTGGTGGTGCCAACACCAAGGCCCCCACCAAGGATGACGTTGCGCGTGTGTTGAAGCAATTGATCATTCAAACGTCGCCTCGTGCTCTGGCGTTGACCAAGCCCCGCGACATTGTGTTGTACGGTTTTGGTCGCATTGGTCGTCTCCTGGCGAGACTTCTCATCGAAAAGTCCGGGTCCGGTGCGAAGCTCATGTTGCGTGCTATTGTCGTCCGCAAGGGATCGAAGGAAGATTTGAAAAAGCGAGCCAGCTTGCTTCGCCGCGACTCTGTCCACGGCTCGTTCCAAGGCACGATCTCATTCAACGAAGAAGCGAACGCGTTCATTGCAAACGGCAACGTGATCCAAGTCATTTACTCGGACGGCCCGGACAAATGCGACTACACGTCGTACGGGATTGAGGATGCCGTCGTGATTGACAACACAGGTATTTGGCGCGACGCCGAGAGCTTGGGACGCCATCTTCGGAGCCCTGGTGTGTCCAAAGTGGTGCTGACCGCCCCGCCCAAGGGCAACTCGGTCCCCACGATTGTCGCCGGTGTCAACGACCACGTGATCAACAGCGAAAACAAGATCTATTCATGCGCGTCGTGCACTACCAACGCGATCGCGCCGCTCTTGTTCGCGCTGGACAACAAGTACGGCATTGACGAAGGCCACATCGAGACTGTGCACTCGTTCACGAACGACCAAAACTTGATCGACAACTACCACATGAAGGAACGCCGTGGTCGCAGTGCTGTCATGAACATGGTGATCACCGAAACGGGCGCTGCTGCCGCCGTCGAAATCGTGATGCCAACGATGAAGAACAAACTGACGGCCAACTCGATCCGCGTGCCAACGCCCAACGTGAGTTTGGCCATCATGACGCTGCACTTGAACCCGGAAAAGGCCGGCGCGTTCACCGCGGCCGACATCAACGCGTACGCGGCCAAGTTGAGCTTGAACTCGCCTCTGCAGCACCAAATCGACTTTATCAACTCGAACGAAGCGGCATCGTCCGACTTTGTCGGGTACCGCGCCGCCGGTATCGTGGACGGCCAAGCCACCATTGTCCGTGGCAACAAGGTCATCTTGTACGTCTGGTACGACAACGAGTTCGGGTACTCGTGCCAGGTCATGCGTGTCGTTCAAAAGATCTGCGGCATCTCGTTGCCCAAGTTCCCCGACCAGTCTCACGTCGACCTCATCGACAGCGTCTTGAATTAATATAGGTTAGTTTAGCTTTCTGCATGTGCGTGGTCTGCCTTGTCCTGCGGGAGGACGCCGCGTTCCATCGGCGGTGCGTCTGCCACCCTCTTGGGATGGTCTTCTGCTGCGGCCACTGGAAATTCTGCATCGGTTTGACAGCTGGCCAAAGAGACCAGCCACTCGATCATCTAGGACAGCACGACCGCAACAACGGAATCGACGTCAGCGTTTGGGGAAGCGGTTGCATCAAAGCCGGGAGGACGGGCATCGGCGTCGAGAGCGGCCATTTTGGCGGCTTCTTGCGCTTGCTGCCTCCGTCGCCACCGAAGTTGCATGGCACGAATTTCTTTCTTGGCAGCTCGGTTCGCACGAACGTCCGCATCGTGTTCAGTTGCAATGGCGTCCGCGTTTGGAAATGCGTCCACCATGAAGCCCATGCTCGTTACGTAGCTCTGGACGCCCAGGCCGCGGCGCTGGGCTCGCACGACGCGATATGCGCCGTCCTCGCCAGTCGTGACTACGTTGGCGTAGATGGTGTCGGTCCTGGTTCGGAGAAATTGATGCACCATGTGGATCTGCATCTGGGCTTCAGGCGACGAGATCAATCGGGTGGACGAGAGGCCTGCGACCGCGCGCTGGCAGTCATGGCAACGCTGCTGGCGCTCCAATGCTTGGATCGGGCTTAGGCCATACAAACGGCCAAGAAGGAGCGCTCCAAGCAGGCCCGTTCGCCCGCGACCTTCACGACTGAAAATGTACAAGTTCTCTCCATCTACAGTCAACACAACGTAGGTTGACCACAAAAACGCCGATCCGTTCACGTACCGCGCAGGCGTGTTTCAAGGAGCTGCAGGTGGCGGCGCAGGTCGGGCTCACGAGGGGCGTGATTGTGGGCGATGGGAATGTGTAGGATGTGTAGAGGCTGGAGTTGTTTGAGGGTCGCGACGGCTTGGGTCAGGCTGTTCTGTGCCAGCGCTTTCTTTTTCACACTCAGATCCATGACAAAATCCTCCACTTCTGGTCCTCGTTGTTGCAGTTGGTCCAAGGTCTTGGTCGCCATATTCATGTACTTTTCGGCCGCGACGACGGCGTGTTCGAGTTCCGCGCGGAGCTTGGCATGGCGCAGTTGGAGCATGGCGCTGAATGCAAACGGTGGCACGGTTGGGTCGTTGGGGTTGGTGTGGCTGTCGGTGGGTGCAACGTCTTCGGGCGGGAGCGCGGCCTCAAGGTGCCGGACTTCCGCGTCTTCAAGGAGACACACAAACGTCCCAATTTGTTCGAGCAGCATGCACGTGATGCTGTCCGAGCGGGCGGCGACGCGCTGCTTCCCACGCTTGTCAGGAAAGGCTGGACCACAAGGGTACGAGCCCAAGAGGATGCGCTCTACCATTCCATCGCGCATGAGAGAACGTTGATGCAGAGACGCCGTACCTCGCACAATCCAGTACGATGACGCCGTGGGGCCACTGTGGTTTTGGCGAAATTGCTTGTACTTTGTGATGTCCTCGACCGCCAGGCTACCGTCGGGTTTCATGTGCGCGTATGCTCGAGGCAGCTTGTGCAGCCGCACACCCATTCCTGGATGCCACGGGGCGTCCCGAGGGGCAATGTACTCCTACCATGTCACTCGTTACGACGGCGGCGGCAGCGACACTGTCAACACGTACATGCAATGCTTCGGTGACAGCCTTCCACCGCCGCACGCCCCGCCACTTGAGTCGACGGAGCGTTTTAGCCCAAATGGCATCCATCTTTTGAACTGCATCACGACGGCTCTGTGCGCGCCGCAGCACTTCGATTGCATCCATTCCACTGACATAGCGTTGAATCGGTCGGCGGAACGAGTAGGAAGTCCAAGAGTACCTCGACCGCCCTTCTGCCATGCGCCGTTGAACTTGCCGGCGCCACATATGCCTAAACCACGCTTGAATATGCGCCGCGTTTGCATTTTCGACAGCGTCGCGATCTCTCCGTCGGGCCTACAACGTTGCCGCATATCAACTCGCCTCACGGCAGCCCTCCACCGCGACCCCATGGTGCCGCTCTTCGACAATGGCGTGACACTTACCTCGGTCATGTTCCGCACGAGTGCCTTCCACGCAGCGCCGATGTACAGGTCCACCATGTGCCCAATGACGTTGTGGAGGTGCTGCTGTCGACACGCGTCGAGTGTACGAAGCGACTCTGCCGGGACAAGCACAACCCGAACGCGGTGGGTCGGCGGGTATGGCGCATCGGATTCAACCGACAAGGTTTCGTCGCCTTCGACGCTCAGGGGCGGGTGGCTCACTTGCGACAAGAAGTCGTCGCGTGCCATGTGTGCATCCATCACGTTGTCTAAAGCAGCGTGGATGTCGGCCAAGATTTCCCGCAAGAGCGCTTCGCTCGGAAACTGAACGAGTTGCCGCAAGTCGCGCAGTCGACCAGCGTACTTTTCCCGCCGCCATAGCTTCCGCGTCCGCCGTTCGGCCGCGACCGCAGCCCGGTATGCATGGTACATGCTCACGTAGCTCTGGATCGGAATCGGCCAGAAGCCGTGCGGAAGGGTGAGTACAGCCAAGTACGTCGCATTGGGCAGTGGAAGGACCCCCCGAATCCACAACACTCGAACGAACTGGCTGTGGTGGTCACCGCGACGCGGCTGGTCGGCTTCGACGACGGTGCCAAAGAGGAGCCCTCGGGCAAGCATGGGATCGCGAAAGGTCACGATATCGCCCCACCGCAACGAATGGATGTGTAGAGATGCCAGCGTCGGTGGCGGCGTGAGATGGAATGGCGGCGCGGACCGGGAACCGGCGACGAATCCAGTGTCCCCTTGCTGCAGGTGGCGAATGGCATGGCTTGCGTACACTTGGATCTGTGCCCCCAAATGAGAGATTCGAGTGAAGTCATGTGTATGGGGACGTACAATATGAATCGCGTTGGCGCAGTTGTGGCACAAGGTTTCGCGGCAGTCGAGGCATCTGTACACAGCCTGCCGCTTCTCGCATTCTTCGCAAACAAGGTCCTCTAGAGGTCTTGGGATGGCAGGCCCATCCGCGGCAGCTTCCTGTACGCGCCAGGGAGCTACACGCGTCGGATACAGCTCCTCCATCAAGTCATCGTTCGTCGTTGGCGGCAGCGACATCGGGCGGCCATGTGGATTTCCCGCCCGTTACGTTGCCGTTTTATGCGGTCGTGGTCGGCCTGGTGAGCTCGCCGCATCCAGGACGCCAGGGTCGACCGCAACGTGGCGCTCGCACACCTACTGGCCCTCCACCACGGCTCGGCGCCCTCGCGCACCACAACTGGAGACCCAGCCGCCGCCATCCTGTCGCCAAATCCAACGGAATTGTTCTGATTGGTTTCTGTTCCACGGCCAACGGTGGCGAAATTGAACTTGCCACGGTCGACAAAGTGCGCGCCACGACCTCGACACGACCATGAATGCTCTCGACGTGATCGCAAACGTCATGGCGCTGTACAACTCGGAGACACAGGATATCGACTCGATCGTCGACGCGCACTACCACCCTGACGCGGTCTTTTCCGACCCGATCGTGAAAGGTACGATCTCGTTGCTGTTGTAGTGCTCAGGCTCTCCCCCTCAAACCCCACCAGTCCATGGCCGCGACAACATTGCCGCGCAGTTTCGCGTCCTGCCCTACGTGTTTCAAAGCTGTGGCACCTCCGTCCTACATCGTTCCATCGCGGGCACTCGCATCCTCACCGTAGACAGGCAAGTCGCGCGCTCCATCCACCGTCATCCCGTCCACGATCTGTCATGACCAGTGTCTTGTCCGCGACGTTCAAGTTCCTTCCCAAGTACTTTGGATGCTCCTTTCGCATGTTTACCGTGCTCGAAGTGAAAGACGTCAAGGTAGCACGTCGTCTCGACCCGTCGCCGTCCATGACGTTGCCTTGGCATGCAGATCGTCCAGCACACCGACTTCTGGGACGTCCAGTCCGTCGTGGAAAACGTGCCGGTGATCTCGTCGGTATATCCCAAGATGCGCCGCGTCCTCGGGTACTCGTCCACGAAGGTGGTCAAGATTTTGTCGCCAAGGCCATTGCCGGCCATGCCCGCCGAGTTGTTGCAGCTGGAAGAGTCCAAGACGGACGACAGCGCGGCCGCCGTGTAGCCCGTGCTCTTTTCCCCAACATGAACCCTCGATTCCCAGTGTATTCGTCCTGCCCCTCTGCCGACGGGCATAAACAACCAAGCCGTTGCCGCTGGCGTTTTTGTCGCCGTCCGTAGAGCATACTCTAGCTTGGGTGGCACACACCGTGTTGTTCTTTCGATGCGTTGGCACTCGAGGATGGCGTGCTTCACCAGGTAGTGTGCTCGCTGCCGTCGTCTTCCCCGACATTCTGCCGCCCCTTCCTTTCCCCTTTGGCCACACGGCTGCCACCCCACTCAATGCCCGTGCACGTCGCCGGTCGCGCCCCCGCAACCTCGTCCTCGATCGGCCCCCCCACTTGTCGAGGTTGGCCCGTTGAGTGTGAGACAATGAACGGCATGTGGTTAACGGCGGGATCACCCCCCCAACGAGATCACACTTGCCAGTTCGCGCCAGTGGTCATGAACAACGTCACAGATGCGATCGAAAAGGTCATGCCTCTCTACGACGTCGGCACACTCGACACAGACACCATCGTCGACACGTACTACCACCCTGACGCGGTCTTTTCCGATCCCATCGTCACAGGTCGCCGCCGTCGTTGCCATCATCCGTCTCACGCACGTCTAGTCCACGGGCGCGACAAGATCGCCGCGCAATTCCGCGCGTTGAAAACCATCTTTTACAGCTACACCGCCACGACATTGCGCGCGTCGTTTGCCGGCGACATCCTGACCATCGATAGGTACGTGTCCCATGTCTTGCCGACGCTAACAACACACGGGGCCAGCGTCGCGTCGGGGCGATTTCGCCCGTTTCCCCACTACTTTGGCTGCTCGATTCGCATTTTCACGATTCTCCACGTGAAAAACCACCAGGTGCGATCGCCTGCCCGTCGTCGACCGATGCCCCACCACTGGTGTGCAGGTCATCTCGCACACAGACCACTGGGACCTCAAGTCGGTCGTCGAGAGCATTCCCGTGCTCTCGTCGTTGTACCCAAAGGTCCGCCGCGTGCTCGGGTACTCGTCCACCAAAGTCATCAACGTGCTGTCGCCGCGGCCAGTCCATGTGGACCCTGTCGTCGAGCCGACTGACGACGGGGCAGCCAACTAGTGTTGATTGCACAGCTAAGTCAAACCAGTCGATTTTGTTTTAACTGCGCCCCGTGTTCATGTGGTGCTGTGGACTGGCGGCAAACGATCGACCAAACGGCTTCTTCTGCTGTTGCACCGCCGCGTCGTCCTGGTAAAATGCGCTCCCGCCAAAGACACTGCCACCACCGTGGACGATTGCTGGGTCGTGAAACGCGTACGACGACGGCGGCGGCGCATCCAACGAACTGCCTTGCGACCAGAACGGGTTGTCGGTGCGCGAACTGTCCAGCCCATTCGTCCACGAACTCTTTTGTTCAAACGAGTGCGTGTACGCCGGTCGGTGCATGTGCTGCTCGGTGGGTTCGCGGCCATAGCTAATGTTGACGTTCGGGAGCATCTGCTGCAGGAACGCCATGCCAGACAAAGATGCGTCCGGAGGACCCATCGACAGTGCAAACGCCCCCGACGACGACGTTGCCGACCCCGCGCCGTCAAACATTTTTTCCGGCGATCGGTACATGCCTCCAAACGGGTTGTAATCTTCCATCACGGGCGACGGCTGCGACGACGGCGCGGGTTCGTTTCCTCCAGCGTTGGCAAAACTGAAGCGAGACCCACGCTTGCCCCCCGAAGTCGGAGGGGCAATCGCGCTGGTTGGCGGCGGCATCATGCTTCCGGTCAGCAGAGGCTTCGCGCTCAACTGGACCCCCAGGAGTCCCGCCAGCGCTTCGGATGATTCGTTGCGAGGGGTGAACGCAGAATCCACGGCAGCAAATTCAAACACTGGCGGCGACGGATGCAGGGGCGACACGGGGGCTTGGCGACTGTCCGAGAAGAGCGGGTCGAAACTCCAGGCAGACACGTGGGCCGTCTTGTCCCCAGAGGATGGCGGAGGTGGCGGCGCACTGTGATGTTGCGGGGGTTGCAGGGGCGGCTGTTGCTGGTGCACACGGCCGATTCCACCGTCAAAACCCATGCCAAATGGACTAAACACGTGATGGATCGGTCGCTGTGAAGGCTCGTTCGACGCTTGGGTCACCCGTGGGAACGACTGTGCCCATAGTGGCTCGTCAGCGGTAGGGCTTGTGGCAGGTGGCAGCGCCTTGCCAGTGCTGCTCGTATCAACGTACAGCACAGGTTTTGTCTGTGCTTCGGTCTGTGTAATGTGTGGGCTCGATGGCGATGTGGATGAAGTCGGTGCAGTCGTCGGCACGGGTGCAGGAGCTGCTGCGTAGTCGTGCTGCTTTGGTCGGGGCTTGGAGTCTTGTTCTGTGTGTAGTTTGAGCTTGGAAATGGCCGCCGCGCTCTGTGCTTTACGTTGGGCGTCCGATGCCACGGCCGTCGGTCGAGCCTGGGGGGCCTTGCCGTCGACTACTTGGGCTTCGCGCATGGCCGGTGTAAGATGGGGAAACGCGTTGCCTCGTCGGTCTTCGTATAGTCCTATCTCGCGAAAGCAGCCCTTGCCCGCTACGACACATTGGCTGTGAGCTGTCCATCGAGTTGGTGCGATTTTCCACTCGTGCCCAACCTGTTTGCATCTCCTCCTTCGTAAAGCTGTCGTCTGTTTCGCCGAGCTCGTGCAGGTACAGGCACTCGGGATTGTTACACGACAAGTTGCGCAGGAAAAAGTTGCAGTACTTGGTTGTGCCAAATGACGCCCTGACGACGTGGGTGAGCCAAACACGCCATCGGGAGGCGACGGGTACCGAAGCAACGACCCGTCCAACACGTAGCCGTCAATGAGGTCGATGCAGTTCTGAGCGTCGGCCTTGTGTGCAAATGTAATATACGCGCTCGCGGTCGCGTTGTTCCGGTCTGTGTTTAGATGAGATTTGTTCACGACGGCCTTGACGATGCGACCGTACTGCCCAAAGCAATCTTTGGACCGGAGCATCTACGAGTAGACACGATATCACGCTGCGTCCGCCGCCGGGACAGCAAGATGTACCTCTTCGTCGGCGTAATGCACGGGTAGTCCTATGACGTACACGAGGTTCCTCTGCATGACGCGCACGTTGACAAGACTCTTGCGGTTGATCGGGGCAGCTTTCGGCGGCGCGACAGCTTTCTTTTCAATCTTCTCCTTTTGTTTTCTCTGTTTCGTACGCCGCACCACACTACACGACGATCGTTGGACACACCGACGCGGGACCGTCGCGGCCACGTACTCTTCTCTGTCGACGTTCCCCTTGGACTTGGCGAGTTCCGAGTACGGCGCCCGACAGGCTGGACAAAGCCCGTTGTACTCGTTCTTAATTTGATGCCAGCACCACAAACACACCTGCACACAAGGCCGTTCAGCGTCGACCACGAACAGCGTGTCGGCACGCGGTCAACCTACTTGGTAGCCACACCGACATGCGTCAAAGGTCTTGTCTGTAAGGTCGAGTTCTTCCATGCACAGCGGACAGCAGTCTGCCTCTTCCTCTGACATGGTGCTTGTGTAGATAGGCTCGCCGCGGGGTGATCGTGTGTGCGCTCAATGCTTATCTCTCTCTCTCTCTCCGACCGAACCGCCCAAAAGAAGAACTGGGCCCTACGTTTGTCTTGTTCGGAATGGAATTTTTTTTCCTACTGACTTGTTGTGACCATTGGCTGGAATTGTTTGGTAGTAACGTCGTCGTGGACTATTGGTGGAAGAACCTTTCTCTTCCGATACACTTTAATATTCAGTACCCTTCGGAGGAACTTGTCTCTAGAATCCATTTCGTTTCGCCTCTAACACTGCATACCTGCTGCACTTGTATAAGATATACTGTATGCACTACACACCCGCCAAGCCCTTCGCCGCACTTGGCGGCCGCCGCCCCCGCCCCCGGGCCTGTCCCGAACGAGCGCTGTGCGTCCTGTGCGAGCGCCACGAGATATGTGTGCGTAGCCCCCCTGCCAATCTCGCTTGAAAACAACGCTGGTGGACGGTAAGAGATGCCCCCCCCTCCTCACACTTTTCACCAAGTCCCCCACATTCGCGCTACTCCCCCCAATTCGTCAACGGTTCACGCAAGGGAGAGTCTTCCACAGGTCCCATGCGACCACACCGGCATTGCCAAGTCTGCCGTAAAACTGCTCACATGTTCTCGTTGCAATATGAGATGGCATTTCGCCCTGGCTGAGCGATGAAAACACTGGTTTGGGACATCTAGCAAGCGTCGCCATGACGTACTGTACGATTCTCCCATTTGCATATACTACGAAGTACCCCTCAAGCTCCCTTGTCAAGGTTGGAACGTGTGACGTGTTTTGCACACCCAACTGCTGCTATCGAGTGGGGGGACATCTTTCTCTGTTGAAGTCGTTTTTCGAAGACCCCTCTCGCCCACGCGAGATGGACGTGCTGCCCCTTCTCCCTACGCCGCACGCTGGCAACCCCTGACGCCCCTGTATGGAGGAGAGCCGAGGTATCGCCCAGTGTCCACCTCAAAATCCGGATAATTTGTCGGATAATGAATTTTAGCCAATCAATTGTTGAAATTTTGGATTGCCGAATCATATCGTGCCACCAAGTTGGAATTGAGGAAGGGGAATGTGGGGAAGTGATCACTTTGGAGATGCTGACCAAGTTCGAGTCCAAGAGCAACCGCGTCAAGGGACTGTGCTTCCATCCTTCGCGTCCTTGGGTGCTCACGTCGCTGCATAATGGTGTAATCCAGCTCTGGGACTTCCGCATGGGAACCCTCATCGATCGCTTTGACGAGCATGACGGCCCTGTGCGCAGCGTCGACTTCCACAAGACTCAGCCGCTCTTTGTTTCGGGTGGGGACGACTACAAGATCAAGGTTTGGGATTACAAGCTTCGTCGGTGTCTCTTTACGCTGCTGGGTCATTTGGACTACATCCGCACGGTCCAATTCCACCATGAGTACCCGTGGATCGTTTCGTGTTCCGACGACCAGACTATTCGCATTTGGAACTGGCAGTCGCGGTCGTGTGTGTCGGTGCTCACGGGTCACAACCACTACGTCATGAGCTGTCAATTCCACCCAAAGGAAGACCTTATTGTCTCGGCCTCGTTGGATCAAACTGTGCGTGTGTGGGATACGACAGGATTGCGCAAAAAGACTGTCCGCGGCGCGCCATCGTCCCTCGAAGACTCGATTCCCGTTCCGAGCCCTCACGGACTTGGACGATCCGGAACTGATATCTTTGGTGCCACGGACGCCGTCGTCAAGTACGTGTTGGAAGGTCATGACCGTGGCGTGAACTGGGCGTCGTTCCATCCGACGCTGCCATTGATCGTGTCGGGGTCAGACGATCGACAAGTCAAGCTCTGGCGCATGAACGACACCAAGGCATGGGAAGTGGACACGATGCGCGGCCACACCAACAACGTGTCGTGCGTCATCTTCCATCCACGTCAGGAGCTGATCATATCCAACTCTGAAGATCGCAGCATCCGCGTGTGGGACATTGCAAAGCGCATGGGGTTGCAAACATTCCGCCGGGAAAACGATCGGTTCTGGATGCTCCAAGCGCACCCGACGCAGAATCTGCTCGCGGCCGGTCACGATTCCGGCATGATTGTGTTCAAGCTCGAGCGCGAACGCCCTGCCCTCGACTTGGTCGAGAACGGCGTGCTGTACGTGAAGGACCGCTACGTCCGCAAGTACCACTTTGGCACGGGCAGCGACAACCCGGTCGCGACGATTCGTCGCGCGGGGGGTGGCCAGGTCGGCCAGTTGCCTCGGTACATGCATTTCAATCCGTACGACCCGCCGAACGCGACGTCCAACTCGATTCTGCTCACGAGCGATGTCGAAGGTGGGTCCTACGACCTCGTTACGTTCACGCCGACAAACAACGACGTGTCCGATTCGACCCGCGGCACGGCATTGTATGCAGTGTTTGTCGCCCGTCAGCGCTTTGCCGTCCTGGACAAGTCCCGTCACTTGGTCATCAAGAACTTGCAAAACGAAATCGTCAAGAAGATCACACCACCCAACGGCACGACGGACGCCCTGTTCCCCGGCGGCACCGTCGGTCGCGTGCTTCTCCGCATCGACGACAAGATTGTGCTGTACGACACGGACAGCCGCCGCGTTCTTGCCGACGTCGTCGCTCCCCGCGTCAAGTACGTGGTGTGGAGCGCCTCGGGCGAGTACGTTGCCCTCCTCTCCAAGCACTCTGTCTACATTGCCGACAAGCAGCTCAAGCATCTGTGCACCGTGACTGAAGTCGTTAAGGTCAAGAGTGGCGTGTGGGGCCCGACCAACGTGTTTGTGTATACGACGCAGAACCACATCAAGTATGCGCTGACGAACGGCGACAGCGGCCTCATCCGCACACTTGAAGCGCCCGTGTACCTGACGCACTTAGTCGAGTCGAAGCTGTACGCGCTCGACCGCGACGCCAAGATGCGCATCTTGCAAATTGACTTGACCGAATGCGAATTCAAGCTCGCCCTTGCCGCCAAGCAATTTACGACCGTCATGCGCATGGTCAAGCACTCGCGGCTATGCGGCCAAGCCATCATCACGTACCTCACGCAAAAGGGGTACCCCGAAGTGGCGCTGCATTTCGTCAACGATGACAAAACGCGGTTCAAACTCGCCATCTCGTGCGGCAATTTGGAGGTCGCACTCAACTCGGCCTACGAATTGGACGACGCCAAGTGCTGGCACCAGCTCGGCGTCGAGGCGCTTCGCCAGGGCAACATTCAAGTCGTCGAAATGGCGTACCAGCGCACGAAAAACTTTGAACGCCTCTCGTTCCTCTACTTGATCACGGGCAATCGCGACAAGCTCAAGAAGATGCTCAAGATCGCCGAACTTCGCCAGGACATCATGTCGCGATTCCACAATGCGTTGTACCTTGGCGATGTTCCGGAACGCGTCGTCGCGCTCGAAGCTGCCGGTCAGCACGCGCTGGCTCTCCTCACTGCCGCAACGCATGGCCTCGACGACCACGTCGCCCGCCTTCGCGCTCATTTTGAAGCGCACGACCCATCCTTCGACGTGGCGGCATTTTTGGCTCGCGAAATCCTCCCCGACGCTGCACTGCTCTTGCCGGCGTCGTCGGTCAGCGATTTGACCCAAGAAAACTGGCCTCTCGTGCAGCTCAGTGAACCCACCATGACCGACCACGCCGCAGCTGCTGACGCCCAAGTGAGCCGAACTACGTTGTACGATGAGCAGCAACAGCAGCAACACCCCCAACCAGCACAAACTTCCGACTCGACCGCCACCGCTCGTCGCGCGTCGGACGATTTCCTGGCAGAAGCGGATGCAGGCGCTTGGGACGACGAAGACGACGGGCTCTTCAGTGACGGAGAGGAACGACCGTCGGTAGACGGCGGGGATATGTTCCATGACCACTCGACCTCGTCGGCCTCGGACTTTGTGGTCGCGCCCACGGCTGGCCCCCCAGTCCCTTCGATATGGACACGCAACTCATCCGTCGCTGCCAACCACGTGGCTGCCGGATCGTTTGAGACCGCCATGCAGCTGCTTCATCGACAAATTGGTGTGGTCAACTTCGAGCCGCTCAAGCCGCTATTCCTCAGCATCTACGCCGGCAGTTCTGCAAGCGTCCCGACGCAAGGCAACATCGCATCTTTACGCACATGGGTGCAGCGGTCGCCAACCGAGCCGATTGTCGCCACCTCCGTGCACTCGTTGGTGAACGTGCTCAAGGAAACGTACCGAAGTTTCACTGGTGCGAAATTTGACGAAGTGGCGACCCTGAGCCAGTCGATTCTGCACGCTATCCCGCTCCTGTCGGTCGAATCAAAGGAACAGGCCGCGCAAGTCAAGGAACTCGCCGTCATTTGCCGCGAGTACCTGCTCGCGTGTCGCATCCGTGCGCAGCTGAACGAGGTGCCGCTCGAGTCAAACCCGAAGCGCAACATTGAATTGAGCGCGTACTGGACACACTGCAAGCTCCAGCCGTCGCACATGGTGCTCACCCTCAAGAGTGCGATGACCAACGCATTCAAAGCCAACAACTTTATCACAGCGTCGTCGTTCTGCGCGCGCTTGCTCGAGATCCCGGAAGTCAACACAGAACGCAACATCAAGCTGCAGCAAACGGCCAAGAAGGTCGCCATGAAGGCGACCAAGGAGGCCCGCAACGAGCATCAGGTCGACTACAGTGACTCGAAGGGGTTTACGCTCTGTGCACGCACCCTCACGCCGCTGTACACTGGCGCTGGCAACGATACCCGTTGTCCTTACTGCGCCGCCTCGTACCAAGCGCAGTTCCATGGCTCTCTTTGCGACATCTGCGGCATCTCCAAGATCGGCGAAGAAACTCTCGGCCTCGTGATTTCGCCGTAGTTAACTATTGCCTGCATCCATACCAACACTCTCACGTTTCTGCAGACCTACACTCTGAGTTTGTGGTTCCCACATGGGACAAATTGGGGATTTGAGGGAGAAACAGTTTCGCCCATTTTGCTGCAACATTGACGGTTTCATGGGGGTGCCGCCGCCGATGGGACGATGGCAACGCCTTGTCGGTCCGTTCCTCTTGGCCATGGTGACGATATCGGCCTCAAATGACGATGCGAACGGTCATGCCCAGCAGTGCGGCGGCGGCGTCGCATTAGAGTATGTCGTTGTGGTCCACACAACCGACCCTCTCGGGGTCATTCTCTCAGACAAACTGCAAGTGCTGTCGTTCGTCCAAGATGAGAATGGGCGCGACCGCGCCGTTGAAGCGAGCGGGCTTGTTGAGGTACATGTGCGATCTATCCAATGGCTCAACACAAGTGGCCTAGGTGGGGGATGCGCTTGTCGGAGTCAACGATGTCTTGACCGAAGGCGCGGGATTGCACACGGTCGTGAATTGGATTCGCGATGCCGACGTTCCGAAGAAACTGACATTCCGCGCGCATAACACGTCACGATGCGTACCGCTTGAATCTGCCAGCATGAATCACGACGTGGAGAGCATCAACTTTGTGGTATGAAGCCATTCGTTTGCATGAAAAACCTTCTCCGTTCACGTGGGCCCCTCAGGTGGCGGCGCAGGGAAACCAGCGGTCGACGGAGCTGTACGCGCTAGTTTCAGAATTTGGTGACGCGATTGCATGCGAGCTGTATCCCATCGTGCTGGCGGACCCAACTCACGCCTGCTTGCCGCTCAACAACAACGTTACGGGTCGATTCGTTCTCGTGCAGGTTCAGTACCGCAGACTACGCACAACACTGATGTATCCAATCTAGAGCTCTCGACAGTGCTCGCCACATCAGCAAGCTCTCGTCGTGGGCCGCAGCGGTGGATTTGGTGTGATTTTGGTCCAGCACGAAGGAAAGAAAATCGAGAGTGTGTTGAGTCCGCGCGGGTGGATCGGAACGATTCGCACGCCGATCGTGATGGTGTCGCAAGAAGCAGGTAAGGTTGTGATGGTGCGATGTATGTGGCCATATGCGATGAATTCTAATGGGGAAAATGTTCTCGATGTGCCACCTAGGCCGGTACGTGGCCGATCTCACCACGAGCGCCACTGCCGCTGCCCCCGCAACGATCCAAGTCGTCGTATCGGACACGTGCGCTAAGCGATACCGTGACCCGACTCTTGTCGCGATCACGATGTCGGAGAAGCACGCGATGCTGATCGAGGCCACGTCCGGCGACCTCACAATTGTGTCACAAGATGGAACGTCACATTCAGCCGAGGTGAGCGACTGCTGCAATGCATACGATCGAAGCATCGCGATGTCATGACTAGTTTGTCAAAGCGCGCACGAGTGGAGCCCTCGACTTGTTGCAACATCCCCTTGTCATCGTGCCAGGCAATTTGTGCCTCTTTACGTCGTTGGTGTGGGTGCGAGGGTTGTATGTCCTGTCGCAAGTCAGCCCTTCGTGTCCCATCGAAGCCCAAGTACCCGACCTCCCTCCATCCATGTCTAACCCGTCAACGTAGCTTGCGAAGCTAGTCGACGCAGGTGCGACGGGGGTGCTGTGGGCTGTTGAGAACGCCAACGCACCCGACTCGGTCGTGAGCATCGTCGAAATTCCCACGAGCTCGACAACAATGCCCTTCCCATGTGCATTCGTGTCTCGGCACACGCTGCATTTGATCAGGTGTCGATGCAAACTTGCGCTCATAATGGCGTGAATCGCCCGCATCACCGCTCTATACGGGTAGCTTGTGTGCAGAGGACGGCCCCGTGTCGATTGCGTTCGCCCCCAACAGTACGACAGTCGCCTCGCCTGCCACTCCCAACGTGACTGTAGATGCTTACGCGTCGCAGTATGAGGAGCTGCAGGTGGTTGCCGATCCAGCCAACTGGCCATCAAGTTCCCGGGGGCGCCGCGTTCTCTACCATCGCATGCGTAAAGCGATGGACAACAGCGACGGCAAATTACAAGCGCTTGACCTGTGCTTTCAAGCCGCTGAAGCGCACCATCCACCGCCCGTAGAAATCAAAACAAAAGCATCCGAGTGAGTGCACATGGACACATTGCTGTTCCTTTCCTGTGCAGCGAACAACGTCGTCCTTGGAAGTTCAGCCACAGCCTGCAGCGCCATCGTCTTCAAAGTCCAGACACTCGAACGTGTACTGGGGCCATGTATACACACACACATATATATATATAGCTGGGCATCTAAATGTAGAACTTTACCAAGCTTTCGAGCGTCGAAGAGTAGAACAAGCTGGCGTCGTCGTCGCGTGCGAGATCGGTCCCAGATCACTGTGGAAAAGTCCCTACGACGACCAAGTCGGCTCAATGGAAGCGTCCAAAACGTCGCGCCACCACGCCTTGATCAAGGCATCGCTCCGTGCGCTATGGGGCAAGATGAAGGTCGCTGCCAAGGCCGCGTCGGTAGCTGCGAGGTCGTCGTCGTTCCACAGTGATTACGTCGCCATCGAAGACCGAAGGTTCCCGCTTCACGACTCAGGGTACTTGCTCGTCAACGACGCTGCCTGAGGACGCCCCCACTTTGGAAGCAGCTACACTTTTATATGTATATACAATTTTGATGACACCGCTTTATGGAGTTACGGGTTGGCGCGACGCGGCGAGAATGTAGTTGACCTCGGTACACGTCGGGTGCAGCTTCCACCCCTGCACGTACGGATCACCGACGATCCCTGACACGTCCGAGACATGCAAGCCATGCTACACGCAGACGTTATTGAGGCTGGCTCCACACTACCTACCTCTTGAATCCACGTCGTGAGTTCGTGCGGCTGGATGTACTTGGCCCACTCGTGCGTACCTATCCAGCGGAATTAGAATCGATAAGCACACGGCAAAAGAACCTTGGGGCACAAGCTGCAAAACTTGCTCCACCGCGACAATCGTGGTCAGGTACGCTAGCGCCGTTCGGTTGATTGTCGACATGAACAACATGCCGTCCGGCTATGTTTTCCGTGAGCATCGACAGATACGACCATCATGACAATAGTACCTTGACAAGCTGGGCCAACGACTGGATGAACGCAGGGACGTCGTTCACGTGCTCGACCACTTCCAACGCACACACGACGTCGAAGGTTTCGCCTTGTGCCACAAGGGCATCTGCCGTCGAGCAAATGTACCGAATGTCTTCCGTTTCGTAGTCCAGTGCCGCATGCGCACTTGCTGCGTCAATATTGGCTTGGCCAGGGTCGACACCCGTCACGGTAGCACCCAATCGAGCCAGCGATTCCGACAAAATGCCGCCACCGCAGCCCACATCAAGCGTGCGTAGGCCTTTCAACGGCCAGGCGGCATCGCGTTTCATGTCCTTTCCAAAGTGCTTCATCGCGTGGCTGCGGATGTAGCTCACACGCGTCGGATTTAGCTGGTGCAATAAACCAACACCCGTGTTGCTAGCTGGCTTCCACCAGTCGCTACAAACAGACACAGGAAGATCAGGGCGAGAAATCGATAAGTCTAGCAGCAGTGGGGAGGGGCGTACTTGGCGGCCCGAGTGAACTTGCTCACTTCGTTTGCATTCACCGTCGTGGACAAGAAGCGCCGCATGCTCGAATTGTCCCGAAGTCCATTGAAAGGGTGACATCGAATTTGAAAGGTTCTTTGGCCAACCAAACAGCCGTTCTGGTATCAAGTTAAAGAGGTTTCTCAAAGTGAAACGGTCATGGCAGTTTTCGTCAGGTAATCGCGGCGGCAGACCCACGATGGCGAAGAAGGGGAAGAAAGGCAAGAAGGGCAAGAAGGTATGCATGTGTACATGATATCACGTACGTGTATACCCGTGGGTGGACGTTGTAGGAGGAAGCGCCGCCTCCAGAAGAGCCATCAGGTATGTGTGGTTGACGCACTGCTTCGTCAGTGCACGTCATGCTGTAGAATACGATACCATGGACGTTGAGATGCTGAAAGAAGTCACTCAAATGCTGCGGCAGCAGCTGGACAAGTCTCAGATCGACCGCAACTACGTCCAACACGAGCGGGTGGGTGTTGACATCCATCGTGGCGTTGGCACTCGTCCACTCACCAACCTTCGCATTAGGACACCATTCAATCCTTCTACGACATAACACGTCGCGAAGTCGAGACCCACGACATGGAAATCATGGGAAAGGACCGTGAAATGGAGATGATGGAGGACAACCACAGGGTCGAAGTGCGGGTACGTCGGCTCGTGCTGGACCGAGGCACACATTGTTGTGATGTACTGCAAGGTGTACATTCAAAAAGTGAAGCATTTGGAATATGAGCACAAAAACAACTTGAAACGGGTCAAGGCGGACGGTCTGTCGCACATCGACGAGGAAGGAGACATGCACGTGCACCGTGAACACAAGCTGAAGGGGGCCAAGCAGAGTTTGAAACTCGAGCTCAAGGAGCGCGAACTGAGCAACGAAGATGAGATCGAACAGATGAAGCAGTCGCACGAGAAGAACCTGCTCAAGTTGCGCGAGCAATTTGAGAAAAACAATGCGGCGCTGGAGGAGCGTTTGCAAACCCGCCTCGAGCAGCTCCAAGAGGATTTGGAGTTGCGGCGCAAGGTCGACATCCACGAAATCGAAGAGCGCAAGAACTTGCACATTAACGACTTAATGAAGAACCACGAGCGCGCGTTCACCCAGATGAAAAACTACTACAACGACATCACTAAAGACAACTTGCGCCTCATCGACTCACTCAAGCGCGAGATCAGCGACATGAAGAAGAAAGCCACGGCCAACGCGAAGCTCATGCATGACATCTCGCACGAAAATAAACGATTGAGTGAGCCGCTGGCTGCGGCGGTGCAAGAGGTCGAGCGCCTCAAGCATGGACTCAAGGACGAGCAAAAGGACCGCCTGAGTCTGCGCAACGCCAAGGCGCGATTGGTGCTGCTAGAGAAGCAGCTTGTGGACCTTCGAAAGAAACACCAGAGCCTCACGCAAGCGTACAAGACGATGGAAGCGAGCCGGAATGCGCTGTACGACTCGTTTGAGCACACGATTCACAGCGTCCAAACCAAGTGCGAGTACAAGAACTTGGTCCTGGAGCAACGATTGAGTGCGTACGGGGAACAGCACAACAAGAAACAGGCGCAGCTCGACGAAATCCTCATGGCGGCCCATCTCGAAAGCGGAGAAGTCGCCCGCGTGACGGAGAAACTCGATACGCTGCTGACTACCAAGAACACCAAGATCCGAGACCTGCAATATCAAGTCGCCAAGGCGAGCAAGGCGTACAACGATGCTCTGCGGACGTACGAAAGCAAGATGCGCGACTTTGGGCTGCCCGACGAAGACATCCGAACCCTCGGGTTCACTCCATTGCTCACGGCAACGAGTGTCGGCCCGGCGGGGCTTCTGACCAAGTGAATGCCACCTTTTTCAAATGTTCGATTCATTAAGTTTGGGAGTGTGAAAGCGTTGCAAAAAGTCAATTAAACTGTTATAAGCAATCAAGAATGACTTCGATGTCCCGTACTTTATTGTATATGATGATAAAACAGGATGTATGCATTCAAAGAGGGTATTAATACTTGTGAGTCTTGGATACTATGTACACACGGACGGTCTGGTCAAGGCACGACATGACGCAGAGCCCTTCGCGGTCGGGACTACGGTGACAGAGAAAACATGAGCGAGTGCCGTGATCTGCATGGAAGAACGAGATGTGGGATGTACCTCCAGTCCATGCTTACGATGGGCTGCGTGGACAGCACACGGGAGTTGAGGAGTTCGACGGTGCCACCAACACCCATTTGGATGCCGTCGGCATCTTGCGTGACTCGTGACGACGGGTAGTGGCTACATGACATCATGGTCAACACGGTAAGACGAAGGGTTGGGACGCACTATTTGTAGAGGTTGAAGCCGCCATTGCCACCACCGGTCATGAAGAGGTCCCGGTTTTGTGGCATGAACCGACCTTGCCACACGGTTGACTTATGTGCCTGGAGACAACTCGATGAGGATATGGTTTCCAGTCACAACGGAGTACCTTTTCACTCATGAACGCGTATCCCTTGGAAGGATGGAAAGTGCGCATGTCGTACATGCGGAACTTGGACTCGAGGGTCGTGACCAAAAGCTTGTTCATTTCGATGTCCTTGCGGTCAAATTGAACCCCGACAACGCCATTTTGCACGTTCGTTTCCCATCGCATGGAATTTGTGCGCAAGTCGAACAGCTTGACGTCGCCGTTGTCGTACCCAGCAGCAATGCAACGCTCGTCGTCGTTGAAGGAGTTCCCTAGCACACCAGAGGTAAGATCGGTTTGCTTCAAGAAAAATTATCGTACCAAATGCAACAGTCCAACAGTCTCGCACAGCCTCGCCTTGGTCGGGTTCCAACGACACGACAGGATTCGCCACGCGGGTGTCCCATACACGTACACACCCTAACGAATACTTCTGTCATCACGACGCTCGCAACGAGATATTTGTGAATGTACCGTCGCGACCACCCGTAGCAAGTTCTGGGGCACCATACCCAATATTTAGGCCGCCGCATCCGTCAATGCAGTTGATGATGGACTTGTGAGCTTGTGCCGAATACACGGGGACTTCAGGCTTTTCAAAGTCGTAGATGCTCATCACACCCGCGTAGTCTCCCACGGCTAAATTTCGAGCATCCAATGACGATGCACCAAACGTGCCGCACTTGACACCATGTTGTTTTTCCAGTTCGTGGACGACCTTAAGTTCACCCTGTTGCAACGCAAACACATTGATCGCTCCGGTGGCGCGGGGATGAATGCCCATGGACACGAATCGCGCAGAGCATGGGATCCAACGCGCGTCGTACGGTGTGTAGTTGACGCTCTTGGTAATGTGCTCGATCACTTGCGGCGCGTCGGTTGTGTCCATCCTTCAATCCTTCAGCGCCAATTCCAAAATGTCGAAGGTCACACACAACAGCGAACATCCGGATAATTGTTCGGATAATCCCGATCCAGTTTTTCTAAAGGTCACACCCGCCTCTAACGCGGAAACGGCAGGCTGCGCTCCATCTCCACATGCAATGGAAGCTCCGCCGTGATGTTTGCGACACCATAGACAGTAGCCTTTAGTAGCGTTCTTCCGTGTCGCCTTCACTCGGACCCTTCAACGAAACCGGTGCGGTTCTCCGCAGCAGTTTCATCTGAGCCAACCAGCCCAAAATAACCAGCATCACTTCGTTCCTCTCGATACTTTGCCCATCATGGCAGCCGCGGATGATGGGAACGCCGCTGCGATGACGCTGCAACTGGTAACACGACGAGGCTCATGGTAATGATGTACTGACGGACGGTCCATGGTAGCTGCAGTACATGCGCGAGACGACAGTACCAAGTCCTAGCGTGTGGCAAGATCGCACACTCTTCGTGAAAGAGTGGCTTCTTCTTCAAAACAGCTTGGACAATATTCCAGACGACGGCGCTGAAGATGTGCGTGATCCCATGTCGTTTTTCTCCGTCTCTTGCCTCTCATGACTGTCTACTAGCTCATCCATAGACAAATCCGTCGCGGCGATCTCTACCCTGCGACGCGCGATCGCTGCTGGAGTCATTTAGGTACAAGCGTGAGTCATGCATCGGGTGTATCATGACTTTTCCTTCGTGTAGTGCTTGAGCTCCGAGAAGTGCCAGCGGTGAAACTGCTGTTGGAGGATTTGCCTGAGCCTGCAGAGAATGTCAGCCCAAGTCGCGGCAAACTCCGACCAGGCAAGGAACTTGTGGTGCTCCCGAACAAAGGCGAGGCAGTACCGTTGCTGCAGCTCCCCGATGGTGCTGTGGAAGATGGAGCGGAGGGTGGTGGCAGCGGTGGTGGGGACGGCTCCCAACGAAGCAATACCAAGCCTTTGTCAATTTCCAAGGAAAAGACATTCTCGAGCATGAGCATGATGGAACGCCAGGCGGAATGGCTGCGCAAGAAGCAAGAAAAAGTCGACGCGGAGGAGAAGAGGCAGCGTGAAGAAAAGGAAAAGGAGCTCACGTTCAAGCCGAATCTGCTCAATAGACGGCAAACCATGTCGGACAAGCCGGAGGACAAAGGCCCGAAACCTGCTTCTGTCGTCAAGCAAAATTCGTTCAACGAAAAGAAGCTCGAGAATGCCGCCAAGAGCGTGTCGTTCAAGGAGTCGCGCCCACAAGGCACCACATCAGATGCGGAAAAGCGGCCAGTGTCGCGAAGCCTTGTCGAGAAACCCAAGCAGCCCAAACCACCGAAACCTGTTCTGAAGAAGAAGAAATCTACCGGCAAAGGGGTGGACGCGAAGCTGGAAGTCACGTCGCATCTATTAAACGGCATACGATCCGAGCTTAAAGCGTCCAAGGCCATGACACTAGATGGTGATACCGGCAACGATGACGACGACGACGATGATGATCTCGAGCCTGGCGAGGAGCCCAAGGAGGACGACGACAACGTCGAAGACGATGAAACGGCATTGTTTCCAGGAGCCGCCGGCGACTACAAGATCGACTTCTCCGGTATGGAAACCAAAGCGCGTTTGGTCCTTCAAGATGCGTCGCTGTTTGAGCTGAATTCCATGTATCGCAAGACGGACAAAGCGGCCGGCCGCGAGGGTATCGCTCTGCAAATGGGTCGACGCGAAGACAACCACGAAGAACAAGTCGTGGCCGTGATATTCGACAAGGAGAAGATCTCCGAGGCCGATGCGCAGAAGTGGTGGCTTGATCACATGGCCCGATTCTTCGAAGTCCCGCACAACAACCCTTGAACTTCACTTCAACTGAATTTCTAAAGTGCGATCTGTGAAGTACGAGGAACGTATGCTTTGATAAGTACGCATGCAAATACGTACTTTGTCGAGATTTTGCACTTATCTTCGAGTCACATGGACTCGGCACCACAGCCGCCACCTCCGCCGTGTCCTGTGCGGCCGGCGGCCCTCAAGTCGGAGGAGAAACCAAAGCAACCCGTGTTCGACGGTATAGGTGGTCTGCGAAAGGCGAGGCAGTGGAGTCTTTTTGAGGTCATGGCGATGCGCCTTCTCGGTCTAATGTTTGTCCTAGAACTTGGACGACAGCGCCATGGACTTCAAGACCCCGACGGCCAAGATGCGATTGCTGGATGCATTCCGATACCACAAACCCACAGCTGAAGAGCAACTCCAGTACAACTTGCCAGGGAGCTTAGAACGCCTCAGCATGCACAAACTCAATGACGTATGTCCCAAAATCTCCTGAACGTTGTAGTTTGATTGTTCACGACAGGTCATGTCTGTGTGCCTTGCACGCAAAGGCAAGCGGTTCACGAGTTCTCAAATCCAGTCGCTGAGCCTTCTTCTCACCGAGTTGAGTGGGGTATTTGACTCTGTGGACATTGCATTCAAATCGTTGTCGCCTGGCGTACTTCGATACAAGCCACCGGTCGACGGGTCGATCTCGACTCTTGTCAGTGGCAGCGACTTGGAGATACACAACGCCGCACTTGCCTTCCACACCCTTTGCAACACATACATCGCACTGTTCCGTCGACTGAAGGATCTCGTTATCGACATCCGCGCGCACTCCGTCGTCGCCACGGGCCTGGTTGAAGTGCCCAATGCACAAGACTCGGATGACTCAGGTACAGTTGTCGTGTGTATTTATTTTCAGCATCTATCTTGCCATTTGTATGAACATTTAAAATATATTTCACAGAATTCGACGCTAAAGCCAAGGCGCCATTTCCAACGTTCCTCTTTGTCCTCATTCAAAAGTACCGCCGCGAGAGAGCCGACTTCGCCATCCATGACCCCAAGTCGCCCTCGACACCGCCCCTTCCGACACACCCGTGGTGGCCCACAGATTCCCATCCTCCGTTGGACTCATTAGCACAGTTTGCGCTGTTCCTTGCAGCAGTACTTGTTCAACGAGTTCCGTTCCTCAAGGTTGAACTAGAAGGCATGGTCGTGCTCCTCCAAGTTCTGTACGTTATGTTGATCCCAATTTGACGATTGGTTCACGCGCAATGATGCACGGTGCAGGAAGGTGGAACACACTGCCATGGAGGACTCGTTGCACGTACACCTCCACGGCCCCCAGAAGTCAAACTACGTCCTTAGTCGCAGCATCTTTGAGTTCCTCAGCACCGTGCGCGAACTGCGATCAATTCCAAAGCGAAAAGAACTCCTTGAGAACCCACGTCGAGGCCAGAAGAAGCTGCGGCGAAATCCGACACCAAATTGTTCAAACGACAAGTGATTATGTGAACATCGTACTGCGTGAAGGTCGTTTGTCTTCCTTTCCCATTGTCCTGAACATCGATGTCCTTCCAAGGGTATCGCCGAGGGTTACCCACCCATGAAGTCTGATGTCAGAATGCGCACTGATGGTTTGGAATTGCTCGCTGCTCATGACACAACTCCATCATGAAAGCGATTTCAAGATTCATCCACGTCACTTTCCGCGTGTCGAGTTCCGTATCCACATGACAACGCCCTTTGTGATATCACAGGGCGATGGTGTCGTTCCAGTTGTGCAGGCTCGTGCTCAACGCAGCCAGATCCCGGTGAATTTGCACGCTACCGCCAATGAGCACCGAATTGGCTCGATCCGCGATCCTGTTCGCAATGGCCGCGCATTTTGCTGCGTCCTTCCACTGTCGTCGATCTGCGTTGGTCCCGTATGTCCTGCGCAGAGATGATATCTCCAGAAATCGCGGCAGAATGATCCCACCAATCACAGGCCTGGATGACGATATTATCCGTTTCGCGTCGCCGGGCGGCGATGGCCAACCCGTCGGGCGTAATGCATCGCCGTAACTCACTTCCGTCGGCCGAAGATGAGGAGCGCGGCAGCAAAGCACCATTAACTGTCGATTGAGATGGATGCGGACGACAGGATCGCCGACGATAATCTCGCGGATCACGCGGAATTGTCGGAAGCATTCGTCGTCGATGCCATCGAGTCGCGGTACCGCCGCAACCTGGTGTACACTCTGGCGGGATCTATCCTCCTTGCTGTGAATCCATTCCGCGCCATAGAGGGGCTCTATGGGGAAGGCGTGTTGCGAGCGTACGAGTCGCCCAATCCAGTGCCTCATGTGTACGGCGTAGCCTCTGCTGCTTATCGAGCGTTGCAACAACCAGCGCGCGCGTTGTCCAACCAGACAATCCTCATAAGCGGAGACAGTGGCAGCGGCAAGACTGAATCTACAAAGCGCATCTTGGACTACTTCATGCATGTCGGTCGATCGTCGTCCCACAGTGCGACCATCTCATCGTCGGATCACTTGACTCGCCATATCGTCGCTGCCAACCGCGTCCTCGAAGCGTTTGGAAATGCGCACACGCTACGCAACGCCAACTCGAGCCGCTTTGGCAAGTTCATTCAGCTCGATTTCCGCCATGGCCATGCTCTTGTCAGCGCATCGATTCAAACATATCTCCTCGAGACTGTGCGAATTGTGAGTAGGACGCCGGTGGAGCGCAACTACCACGTCTTTTACGAGCTGCTGCGTGGGGCAGCCATGGCTGATCTATCCACGTGGCAGCTTCTGCCTTCACCATCGTTTGCTTCCCAGGATGACGGAGCCCGTCGCACAGCTGCCATCGATTCGTTCCGATACCTCGGTCATGGTCCGTCTACCACCGCGGACGCTTCAATCTCGGTCCACCATGACGACGCGGCTCTGTATGTGGATCTCGAAAAAGCCATGATGTCCCTCGGCCTCCCCTCGCACGACGTGTTTCGCATCGTCGCAGCAGTCCTTCATTTGGGTAACATTTGCTTTGACCAGATGGAATGCCACTCGTCGGACGATATACCATCGCAAGCCATGGCCGAGGCCGCTGTGCTCCTGCACGTGCCGCTGCGAGACCTCCGCACCGCCTTGACGACCCGTACGCTTGTGGTTGCCAACGAAGTGCAGGTGCTTCCCCTGTCACCACAGGATGCGGGCCAAGCGCGCGACGGCCTTGCCAAAGCGCTGTACGCGCGGCTCTTCGACTGGCTCGTTGACTGCATAAACACTCGCCTGAGCATTCCGTCCTCGCCGTCACCATCATCGCGTTCATCATCCCCCGCGTCAACCTCGTGGATTGGGGTGCTCGACATTTTTGGATTCGAACACTTTGCAGTGAACTCGTTCGAGCAGCTCTGCATCAACTACACCAACGAAGTTCTCCACCAGCAGTTTATCGAGCACGTTTTCAAGATGGAGCAGGCCGAGTATGCCGCGGAAGGGCTGGACTGGATGCCGTTGGCATATGAAGACAACGCAGACAGGGTCGAGCTCTTCAGCGCCAAGCACACGGGACTTTTTGCCCTCTTGGACGAAGAGAGCTTGCTTGCCCAAGGCTCGGACGCAGCGTTTGCGTCCAAGTTGAGCCGCGAGCGAGGCAACCATCGCAGGTTTAAAGCTTCCCATGGTCAGCAAAGCCAGCGAAAGTTCACCATCGACCATTTTGCAGGTCCCGTCGAGTACACCGCGACGGGATTCCGGGAGAAGAACGTCGGGGTCCTGGCGCACGACGTGGTGGGGTTGCTACAGGGCTCGACATCACGGGACTCTTTCGTGCGGCGGCTATTTCAATCCGACTCGGGATCGATTGTCCGTCATCCCCACCGGACGTCGCTAGCGTTGCACAAGAAAACCAAACGCCACGAGAGCGTCGCCGGCCAGTTTCAAACGCAGCTGGGGGCACTCATGAAGCGCCTCGACACGACTCAGTTGCACTACGTGCGGTGTCTCAAGCCCAACAGCACCGCCGACTCGATGGCGTGGCACCGGCCTCTTCTTTTGGAGCAACTTCGATGCCACGGGGTCGTCGATGCGATTCGTATGGCCCGCCTCGGGTTTCCCATCCGCATGACGCACGACGCGTTCTGGTGTCGGTACAGAGCTGTGGTGGGCTGGTCGTTGCACGAATCCGCGCGGCCGCACGACCTTGCCCGTGCATTGGTTGAAAGAAAGTTCCCAAGCCAACAGAGTGGCGAACGGCGACCTGGCCTGATGACCTCCGAGCACATTCAAGTTGGTGTCACAAAAGTGTTTTTGCACGGTACAGCACACACCGTCCTTGAATCTCACCGCGCCGCTGTCGAACGCGCCACGAAGCTCGTCCTTGCCCATGCCCTTCGCGGCTTCGTGTGCCGTCGACGCTTCCTCTGTCTTCGACGGACAACGATGTGGTGCCAACGACAAGTCCGTCGAACGCAAACAATCCGACGTCAGCACGGCCACGCGACTAAGCTGCAGCGTGTTGTCAAGGTTTGGCTGACCACGCAGCGATGCCGACAGCGCCTACTGCAAGAACATGACGCAGCGACTACAATCCAAACATTCGTGCGGTTGGTGCTCTTGCGACAAAAGTATTCCCGACGGCGGCAATGTGCCGTCGTCTTGCAGCGATGGTGGCATCGATGCTGCCAGCGCCGTCATGACCTCGCTCCTCAACGAGTTCAGGAACGGATGCAAGCCTTGCCTTCACCATCTCGTCCCGCCTCGATCGTCCGATCTTCGTGGGCTGCGGACTCGGAATTGTCGAATGGTTCCCATGTCATGAACGACGTGATTTGGCGAACGTCGTCGATACCGCTCTTGCTATCCCCCGAGGCGGAGACCTCCTGGCGTGGCATCGTCCACCACGCGGACAGGTCCATCCACCATGTCACGGCGCCCCATCCAGTGCCGCCATCCCCCCGGATTGCCCCCGTGCTGCCTCCCTTGACCTTTGTCGATCCCGCGACGCTACCACCACTGACCGACTACTTTTCATGTTGGGCATGCACAAAACGCTTCAAAGCACTATACCGTCGGCGCTATTGCTGTATGTCGTGTCGCCATGTCGTGTGCGGACGATGCTCGAATGTGGTAGGCACGATAGCTGGCAAGACGGCGCGAGTGTGCCTCGTCTGCGCAGCGCTTCATCAAGGCACGACTGAAACGAGCCCTGTACCACGAGGGCATGCCGTGATGCATCCTGCAGTGTGGCACCAGCCGTGGCCCGAGCCCCCGATACCATCGACAGAAACGAGTCGCCTCGCTGCCGTCGCACAGCTCGACCTCGACAACCTTCAACATGACGTGATGATCCAGCACATCTGCACCATGGTGTACCACACATGGCCAGGCGCGGTCGCGTTCGTGGGCATCATGGACCAAACCAAACAGATCATGCTGACCTCGGTAGGTTGCAGTATGTTTCCCAAGCAACTCACACGGGATGTCGCGCTCTGTGCTCACACTGTTTGCGAGACAAGACCGCTCGTGGTGATGGATGCTACCAAGGACCCAAGGTTCATGTATAACCCTCTCGTGAAGGGCGGGCGACGCACCAAGAAGTTCACCTTCTACATGGGGGCGCAACTTGTGGACGAGGAATCGCGGCACGTGCTCGGCACGATCGCAGTCCTTCACACCATCCCAAGGAAGATGCCGGTGCAACAGTGCGAGCTTCAAGTTCTCGAGAACTTCGCTGGCGTGGTGAGCCATCAGCTCACAAGGAGCAAGACCGCGCGGGAGTCGTCCTTCGTCTAGCCACGTTGGCGTCGTTGAAGTGAATCCATGTGCATCCAATTGCAACCCGTCCATGGTACAATTTGATTGGTTTGATTTTGACGAATCAAAGCAATTACAACAAATATAGCATTATCATTGGCTTCCTTACGAATATTTTTATCGAATTGAAACACTTGGCTTGAAGTTGCACAGTAAAAATTCTGTTTAAATTTCGTGATAACCCACCCAGGCGGACACGTTCGGGACGACGCGTGCTTCATGGGACAGCAGTCCAGTAAGGAAGAGAAGGCAGCGCGCCGAAACAAGCGAAAGGGAAACATCCATGCGCGCCCTGCTGCCCCTTCTCTTGCGATACCAGCTCCTGCTGCAGCTGCACATTCAATTGCTCCCCCGCCCATCGCGACAGATCTTCCCCAAGACTCTTCGACTCTACCAAAGTTGTTCTCCATGTCTCCAGCAGAGCGAGCGCACTCTCGCCCTCGTGTTGGGTCGACTTCCAACTCACTTCCCGAACCCGCACATGATCATGCCGATGTCGACGGGATCGAAGACGTCAAGGTGTCGGACAGTGACGACAGCGACGACATCTTGTCGGACGACACGTCTGTGGTCGTGGAAGACTGGTTGCTGGAAGGCGAAGACATCAAGGTCGAGATGGTTGAAGACGACGGTGTTTCCGAGACGAGCGAAGGCGAATCGCACGTACGCTTGATTTTAGTCCGTGGGAGGCACGCCACGTATCCTTCGTAGACGACGGAGGTGTCGCTGACCGCGTACATGCAAGCGAACCGCCCGTTGTATGACATCATGATCCAAGTGCATCTCTTTGCGAACTTGAGCCAGTTGCAGCAAGAGCAGGTTATGAAGGCACTCAAACCGATCACGTTCAAGGATGGCGAGATTATCGTGAAGCAAGGTGACCGCGGCGAACGCTTCTTCATGATCGCCAAGGGCGAAGCTGTCGTGACAAAGCTCATCGATGGCAAGGAGCGCATGATCACGCATCTGTACGCGGGACATTACTTTGGGGAACTCGCCCTCATCTACGACGACCCGCGAACCGCTACGGTGTGTACACGTCTTACTCCGGAAACGAACGCAACTGCTTGCATCGTTCCACTTCAGTTGGTGTCTTGCTCATGCTTCGTTGGATACGACTGGCGCCACCGTAGGTCCGTGCAGTCGGCGGCGTCGAACTTTTGTACTTGACGCAGAAGGACTTTCAGCAAGTTGGCCAGGTGCATTTGAGCCTCATGCTGCAGCAAGTTCCGCTGTTGGCTCAGCTGAGTGCACGTGATCAAGACGTCGTCCTGACCAAGCTCAAGCCGTCCAACTTTGCCCACGGTATGCTGCTCGTGTTTCGTATGGCCGGACGGGTCGCTGGTGTGCCTCGGACTGTTCAAGTCACCGCATGCACGCGCATGACGGCACGACGTAGGCGAATACATTGTCCAACAGGGAGAAGAAGGCACTCGGTTTTACATGATCACACGTGGGCAGGCAGCCGTGATCGAGACAGACGCAGACACTGGCGAGGACAAGGAGCTCACAAGGCTGTATGAAGGCCACGTGTTTGGCGAGATGAGTCTCATCTACAAAGAACCGCGGACGGCGTCGGTAGTCGCTGTCGGGCCGGTCAAGTGTCTATACTTGACCAAAGAAGACTTTGACGAGTGCCTGTTGTCGGAGCGTTTTCAGCGCGTGATCCAGCACGCGTATATCGAGAAAGCGACGCGGCGAGCCATGCGCAACAAGACCCACAAACTCTTGATGCACAACAGGACGACCGAGTACGTTCATCTGTACGCTCCATCGCTCCCATCATTGTTGATACGAGGGCACGTCGTAGGAACGCAGAGTCCTTTACCATTGCTGCGACGGCAGATCCACCGACGGTGCCCGTCCGCCACAGTGCCGCTCGAGAGACGAGTACGTTGCGCAAGCACCGCCTCGCCAACGGCGAGACAGTTGTGAACAAGTACGTGATCAAGGGGGAGCTGGGCAAGGGATCGTTCGGGACGGTCAAGTTGTGCGCAAACGAAGAGGACGGCCTGTTGTACGCGGTCAAGATCATGCACAAGACATTTGTCCAGCGCATGGCGAATCGCGAGGACTCTCTCCAGGACGCGCTGCGACGTGAAGTCGCCATTATGAAAAAACTCGATCATCGGAACGTCGTCCGGCTCGTCGAAGTGATTGACGACCCGTCTAGCCAAAAGGTGTATTTGGTACAAGAGTACGTCGAGAAAGGCAACTTGGCCGAGGTCGCGGGGGGCGCTCCCCTGGCCGAGGAAGTTGCGCGCAAGTACTTGCGGGACTTGCTGTGCGGCCTCCAGTACCTTCACTTTCACAAGGTGGTGCATCGTGACATCAAACCAGAAAACATCCTGGTCACGTCGGACGACGTTGCCAAGATCGCTGACTTTGGGGCGGCGCGCATGGTGATGAACGAAGCGGAGACGCTTACGGTCGCCAAGGGCACGCCAGGTGTGCCACATTTTGTTTTTTGAGTGAGGACAGAGTCTTACCGACACCTGAAAATCGATAGCATTCATGGCCCCCGAAATGTTCAACGTAAATGCCGAGTATACAGGTCCATCCGTGGATGTATGGTCCCTCGGCGCGACGCTGTTCATGTTGGTGCGTTGCTCGACCACTCGTTTTTGTACCGTCGTCAAGTCACGAGGTGTGGTAGGTGTTTGGGCATCCACCATGGACAGCTGAGAACGAGATTGAGCTCGCGGACAAAGTCCAGCGCGACGAACTCACGTTTCCCGACGTCGTCGTCGAACCGCACTTGAAGAATCTCCTCACACGAATGCTGACGAAAGACCCAGAGCGCCGCATCACGCTGCCGGACGTGATCAACCACGAATGGATCACGCGCGAGGGTAGCGACCCCATCATCAACGTGTTTGTGGACGATCCGTCGCTGCTAAACAAAGTGAGCCTCGACGAGTCGGAGCGCGCGATTGAAAACATCCCCGAGCGTATCGACGCCCGCCTGCAAGCGTCGCTTATCCAAGCCCACCTCATCCTCCAGCAAAAGAAGCAGCAAGGGCCACCGGTGCCGCTGAATCTCTCCCTCCGGTCGCATGGTTCGATGAACTCGATTGGGTCCAACAGCGACCGCGGTTCCATTTCCACCGGCACGTCGTCCCCCAAACGCACGGTGTCTGCAGCCACCGTGGTACCAAAACCCAACCACCACCGGAACCACCATCCAAACAGCGGCAAGTCATCGAGCAGTCCAGGGTCGCTGCGGTCCAAGGGGTCCCATGACTCGATGTTTGGCCAGGAAACGAGTCGCGTTATCTCGGCATGGCGACACCACAAACGCGTGGCCCTCATGGACGGACACAACCTGTCGGAACGCGTGCGGGACCTCCTCTTGGAGCAGAAGCGCATGGCATTTTCGGTCGAGCGGGCCCATGTCACGGAGATTATTCTGCCGACAAAGCAGCCGACGGCCGCATCAGCGACTGCCACCGGGTCTACTGTAGGCGATGCTCCGACCAAACAAGAGCTCACGGACGAAGACTTGACCAAACGCCAATTGTCTCGGAAGAAAGACTTTCTCATGGTCACGTCTGAAGTGTTTCGCAACGAAGTCGGCGACTACCAAGCTCGCAAGGTTTTATTTCAAGCCAAGTCGCAAGATTTCAGCATTGCGTCGCGAATTCCGCTGCACTCCGTTGCCGGGTCGTCTGACGACTTGATGGGGCGGAAAGGTGAGATGCATTCGCGCAAGTCGAGTCGAGCGAGCTCTGCCGGAGGCGGACGAGGCAACAGTTTCGGTAGCTGCAGCAATTCCCCGTCAAAGCTGTCGTCTTGCGCCGATTTGTTTGACGATGTTGCCATGGTCGACGCAGATGACGAGGGCGGTGACGAGGATGAGGAAGATGAAATCGTCGATCAAGTGATGGACGACGCGATTGACGACCACACCTTGGGCCTCGCCAGCAGTAGGAGCGTCGCCCCCCCACGCATCAACAGCAGTACCAGCCAACAACACCGCAGTCGTAGCAACAGCAGCGACAACGACAGCGATTCCGATTACAGCGATGTCAACGAGAACGTCGACGTGAACGATACGTTCGATGACTTGCTACAGTCGCCGCGCTTCCACTTGGCCGACGAAGACAAGGACGTGGCCCCGCTCGAGGACGACGCGAATTGCTTTAGTGGCCCGACCGTGGTTGCCACTGGCGACGCATGCCTCACTTCTGTCGTGCAAGTGTACGTGAGCAGCAAAATCCGAGAAAACCTTGGTTTGGGCGTCCGGGCAGGCTACGCTGAAGCGAAGGGCGCGCGGCCTTTCATGGAAGACCGCAGTCTTGCGTTGGCGCGGTGTCCTTTTGACGATGCGATGGCGTTCTTCGGCGTGTACGATGGTCACAATGGCGCCGAAACGTCAATTGCTCTCCAAGCACACCTCCACCACCGGATTTGGACCCACTGGAACACGAGTGCTTCGCCCGCAGCTGCAATTGAGTCGGGTGCGTCGAGTCCTCCCCTATCGACGGCTGCCCCATGGAACACTCGTAGGCTGCCGCGACATGGACGACGAGCTGCTTCGACGAGACATCGAAAGAATTGCAGCGCAAAAGAACGAACGGATTCCAGCCCCGATGTCGTTCTCTGGGTCGGCAGCCGTCTTTGCCATCGTCGTAACAACCGAAAACGGAGTTGTGCTGCATGTCGCCAACATCGGGGATTGCCGCGGAGTGCTGTGCCAGGATGGCGACGCTGTCGACCTCACCATCGACCACAAGGCGAACAACCCTGCGGAAAAGGCCCGGGTACGCTGTGCTTTTCTGCATGCCCTGTATATACATCATGCTGCAGTCGCATCCATGATATCTTTCTGGGAGATGTCTCATCTCTGGATCAGGTGGAAGCAGCCGGCGGCTTCGTCCACAACGGACGGCTGGATGGGATTCTGGCCGTGTCGCGCGCGTTTGGCGACTTTGCGCACAAGTCTGGCGGCCACCTCATCGCGACTCCGATGGTTGCTTCGCTCCCAGTGTCGCCAGTCGACGAATTCTTGCTACTGGCCAGCGATGGCCTGTTTGACGTGCTGTCGTCCCAGCAAGCGATCAACTTTATTCGGCGCAAACTGAGGGAGCACGGCGACGTCCAGCTTGCCGCGCAGGAGCTCGTGTTCAAAGCGCAGGAATATGTCAGCCATGACAACATTAGTGCAATCGTCGTGTGCTTTAACCAAACATAGTGGCATGAAAACGTTGTCGTTCGTGCATTAGAATCGTCGAAATACACTGCGGCGACCGTATAGGCGCCGGTAATAGTACATGCCGATCCCAGCACCCGCAAGATGCGCGACGTGACCGATGCTTGACATGCGGTCGCCGACAGCACCCCAGAGGTCGCGAAGGATGAAAAGACCACCGACAACGTAGGCTGGCAGGGGTAGCACAAACATGACGAGGATCGTGCTGTGGGGGTACATGCAGATGGAAAAGGCTGTGATGGCGTTCACAGCACCAGATGCGCCAAGACTCAAGCTGCTGCGATTCGAGAGGAGAGGCTGCGTCACCACTTGCGCGAGGGACGCCACCACTGGAGAACGATGTGTGTTCAGACACGACGAAGCTGAACCATCGACATACCTGCGCTGCCGAGATACAAGCCAAGGAATCGCTTGGGACCCAAACTATAGCACACTTCACGTCCAAAGAAGAAGAGCCCCAGCATGTTGCCGAAGAAATGTCCCGCGTCCATGTGCGAGAACGCTGCCGTGAGCAACGTGTGGACTCGTCCAGACATGACATGCGCAGGGGACGTGGTAAAGTTGGTCAACATGAATTGTTTCTTCGAGTACGTGTCGGCGGTCTGCCACATGAACAATACGAGGCCGTTGATGCCAATGAGACCGTAGATGACATTGTCCGGATTGATTGATTCCACCCGCCGTGCAATGTTGGAAAAACCACGAGGTCGCACAGGCGCTTGCATAAACTTCGGCGTTGATCGCGCCAAGGAAGTAGATTGCCACGGAGAATGCGCATGCTTGAGTGCACGGAACGAACTGCCGCGCGTGAGCGACATCCGGCTCGCGAGAGCACGCATCGACATCATATTCGTGAATGGAAGTGAACTGTCGTTTGATTAGCGGAGAATTCCATATTTTTAACGAATCAAATCTATCCATCAAGGATTCGGATGTTTTACCGGATGGCCTTGGAGACCGACCCACCGCTGTCTCCACCTCAGCACTCCATAGGCACAAAATGAATGCAAGTCTGCGCAAGAGCAGATTCCAATAGTGCTACAAGTGCTTGCGCGAGAGGTGCGTTGCATGGCGCTGATGCCTACATGTCGCCGGTGCTACACTGCTTGTCAAATGCAGTGTCGCTTTATCCGGATCCGGAAAAAAGAATTGACTGGTAAGTATGGGGAAGCTGAAACGTGACGTGAATATTCGACGTGAGCATGCAGGCCATCGGCAACACTCTCCGCGCATTCGGGCAGAAGCTGGACAAGGTCGGCGTCTCCATTGAAGGCGCCCTTTCGTACACCGAACGATGTACGTGCAGTGCACGTCGCGATATCATCGATGACCGATGACTTACATCTTGTTTCCCAGTGGTCCCGTCGACTCGGTTGGTCAACCATGGCGGCCACAAGCCTGCGCTCGCATCCACGACCTTCGTCGCCCCGAACGCGTCTGTGATCGGAGAAGTTTCGATTGGACAAGGAAGCTCCGTTTGGTACGGCGCGACTGTCCGTGGAGACGTCAACGCGATCACCATCGGAGACAACACCAACATCCAAGACCAAGCGGTTGTCCATGCTGCCAAGATTGCAAACGACTTTCCCACCATCATCGGTAACAACGTGACGATTGGGCCCAAAGCGATCATTCATGCCGCCAAGATCAGCAACCAGTGCATCATCGGCACTGGTGCTCAAGTCTTGGATGGTGCTGTTGTCGGTGAGAACTCGATTATCACTGCCGGGTCCATCGTTACCCAAGGCAAGAGTGTTCCTGCCGGTCAAGTACGTCATTCCATTCACTGTATCGACGTCGTGCTCACGTTGGAACTCTAGTTGTGGTCTGGAATTCCCGCGCGCGCTGTGCGTGACTTGACCACGGAAGAGATCGAATTCATCAAGCAATGCTCGTTGGACTACGTCGAGGTATGCTCCTTCATTCATGCTTTCTCTCATCCGCCTCTGCAACCACAAACTTACGTCCTTGCTAGCTGTCGGAAGCGCACTCCGTCGAGGCGAGCAAGTCCTTCGAAGAAATCGAAGCGGATAAGGAGAAGCGCAAGATCCTCGACACCGTCGGCGAACTGGGCTTGGAGCAACCGACGGAAAAGCGCATGGACACGGGTCTTTTCTTTAAATATTAAAAGATCCAATTCTTCGTTCTTTAACTCGTTGGACAACGCTCTAACATGAACTATCCGCAGCACGGGTGCTTGTCGCCATGGACGCACTGTCCGCCCTTCTCCAGATACCGCTGGTGGTAGTCGTCCGCAGGATAAAACGTTCCCGCGGGTGCGATTTCTGTCCAAGTCTCGCGCGCTAGGAGTGCTTCGTGCTTGGTTTTGGACGCGACGGCAGCTTCATGCTGGGCTTCGCTGTGGAAGTATATGCCCGAACGGTGAGGTCCTCCCAAGTCCATTTCGCCCAGGCCATCATACGCAGTATGGATCGACCAAAAGTACTCGAGCAAGTCATCGTACGACACCGCGGTGTCGTCGAACGTGATCTGGACGACAAGAGCGTGGCCAGTGGTGTCAGCGCATACCTCTTCAAAAGTCGGGTTGTGCGTACGGCCATTCATAAAGCCGACTTGAGTGTTCAGCACACCAGTCACGCACTTGAAGTGCAGTTGGGCGCTCCAGAAGCACCCTGCGGCAAACGTGGCGAGCTGGTGATGCTTGTTCACGGACGGCGTCCGCGACAAGCCTTTGACGTTGTGCATTCGGTGGAAATTTGCAAAATATCGATCAAGTATGCGCAGTTTTCGATGCTCCAACACAAAGATTCGACGAATTGTCTCCGCCAATCATAAGGCAGTATGTACCATGAAGGCGATGTGATTGGTGCATTTCTGGTTGGGAGGACTACGACATCCCATCAACGTGCGTGCAGAAAGCGGATGGGAGCGTTGGGAGCGCACGTGGCAGCGTGTAAAAGGGAACAGGAAGATCGGCAGGCAGGCGTGTTAGGCAACTGGAGTAGCTGGCTGAAGCAGATATAGACCAGCGTAGGGCAAGCTCCCCCCTCTTTTCCTCAACAAGAAGCGAAGCGGACCGATTTTAAGGTGATGTGTACCTACTTCGGGTTACATGAGCATTTTCAACATAACGAAGTCAAGAAGGCGTGCTCGAGATGTGATGAGCGGCAAATGAACGAGGGGTGAGGAATGCTGAAGGGATATTCAAGAGTTGAAGACGGGACGCTCCATGTGCTCTTGAAATTGGCAGTAAAGTATCAGCATTGCGACTTTTGCAGTGACCGGATCCAGAGGATGTACTTGATCGCACTACTCGATCGTGTTGTGGCGCATGCAACCAAGCATTGCGTGGCCATGTTGGAGCGTCCTACTGGGGCGTTCGAGACGATTTGTCGCTGTACAAAGACAACAGTTTGTTGGCGCCCCGTACATATTCCAAACTGCAAAATTTCGCCCTCCGCTCGTCTCAGTTCATCAAACGTCTTGGAATGGTTTTTCTGGGAGTTTTGAAAGCCGCTATGTTGTACGTTGGAAGCGCCTCCATAAAGGGCATTCGCGCATGTTGCGAAGAAGAGCCATGACGATTTCCGAGTTGGGGGAAAAAGCATGTGGGATTGGCCACTGCACGGACCCGATGTGGTGCATCCGATATACCTGGTCCTGGTACATTGTTGAGCATTCAACAGTCCCATCGATGTCGTCACGGTGTCGGGAGCGCATCGACTCGAGCACTAAATGACGCATTCCAAGCACTGGACAAGCACGTCAGTTGGCCAACTAGATCCTGGGCTGCGTCTTGCATGTTGTAGCTAGCTGTTTGCCTTGGACGAACGATGGGCCGAACCATCTTCGCCCAGCGCTCCTTGGCGCCCGTGTGATTTCTCCGACGTGATGGACCCGACGTCCAATGCGCTCTTCTCTTCTCACTGAAGATGGCTGTAACGTCTCTTCGGTACTTCAACTTCAACATGTGCTCCAACGATCTCCGACCTCGTCCTACCTGCGGCGAGCCATCACGCCCACCCCCCGGCAAACTGCTTGCGAACAGCAGTAGGTTATGCTCCAGCATACAGAGGAATTGTGCCCTTGACCGAGTGCACGAGGAGCTGCGGCCCGCGTTGGTCGTGGTCGCCAGCCACGTCCCTGTTTTTGTCCGTGAAGGCCGTGTGCGAAATATCGTGCCCACCGCCGCTACAACACCCATTCACGTCACAACGACGGCCGTTGAGTCCGACGTCGGTGAAGGCACCAGCTACGGCCGAGGATTTGGACCCTATGCCACCACTGGAGGGGTCCAATGTGACACTTGCCGGTGTGGTGGGCGGAAACCCTTTTTTGTCAACGTTTTATTTTCCCTCGTGCCGATTCAAAAAATTTCGTGTATCGAACGCATTGACAGCACAGAAGAAAGCACGCCAACACGATGGCAACGCCGGCGGAAGACGAGCCGCCGACGTCGAGCTTGTCTACGACCCCACGATTGTCGGTGACTGAGTCAGGGACGTGGGATGACCAGTATCTTCCTACACATGCAGGGTCCCGTACGTTGGGCCTGCTCAAGGGCCGAACGTTGGACAACCAGAAGTCGAAGCTGACAAAGAACACACCACAGGAACGCTTCAGCAGGGCGCAAGTGGCATTTGAAGGGAGCTTGGTCAAACAGGGATCGTTCTGGCGGACGTGGAGAAAGCGATGGTTCATCTTGCGAAGCGATCGACCGTTGTTTTCGTACTACAAGTCGAGTGTTGATTTGGAACTGTTGGGCGAAGTTGTTTTGGATGCTACAACGACGATCGAAGTACTTCCAGGCACGCCTGGACACTTTTGCATCAAGACGAAGAATCGAAGACTCATGTTGAGTGCGCACGACGACGGCGGCGTGCCGTACATGGATCGATGGATCGCTGCATTGAATGTGTCCATTCGACAGTGCTTCACGCCAGTTGACGGAGCACAAGCATTTCCTCCATTCAGAACTATCAACGACGACAATTTCACGCACCTTCACGTCGACGTCAAGCAAATCGCATCGTCCAAATCGCCGGAGGTCGATTCTAGCTCCAACACAACTGTATCGACATCTCCTATCCTCATTCCGCGATTGAAGCAGGCTATAACAATCTCACAAGATGACAGCACGGCGCCGCTGCCGTTCGTTCGACGAACCAACAGCCTCCAGACCATGTCCGACACACGCGACTCCCGAACCATCGGATCGTCTTCGAAGCTTCTCACTGCCATGGTCTCCACAAGCTGGACGAATCGGAACTGTACCGCCAAGCAGGATTCACATCAAACGAACGCACTGACGTCGCTCAGCCTCACGCACGTCCTTCCTCCACCCAGTCTGCACTTTGCCGTGTCGTTCGGGTCCGAGCAGGACGCTGCCGTCCAAGGGCTACTGGTCGTATCTCTCAGCGCCCTTGAAAATGCAGCGTCGTCAATGACTGAGTTGTCCCGCACGGAAGTCGAGTGCACGCAGAGCGTTCGGAGGTTGGGCGATCGGTGGGTTCGGGATTTTCAGGGACTGTTGGCGCTTCCAGTGTCGATGGTGGACGCCAACGTCGTTCTACAGTTCGACGTGTTTGGTATCACAGCCCCGGCGACCGAATCGCTCAAAGCGCAAACTCCGTTGGGAGCATTTACGATCGCGACGCGGGACTTGGTAGCCGACTCGGACGACGGCACGCCTCTCCTCCTTGACTTACATCCTAGAGAGTACCCTGCAACGTCCTCGCTGTTCTTAATCGTTGAGCAAGTGTCAACACCGGAAGCGCTTCGGATGGACCACGTGTACCATTTCGCGTCACACCAGTACTTGGTCGATGCGACGGTGTGGCCGAACACACCACCGCCTTCAGCGACGACGCCGCCAAGTAGCCCTCGGATGCATTCATTGCGATCTGCCGCCGCGACGCGAGGACAGACCCAAGTGCATGTGACGGAAGAAATGGGCGCGTCCTGCACGTCGCTTTCAGTGGTTGTGGCGTTCATTAAGATGCTCCAGCAACGGAACCATCGTCGCAAGGAAACGGCGAAGCGCATGATGGAGGAGATCGAATGCCGTGACGTGACAAGGTCCAGCATCACGTCGCCGACGTCGGCGGCGACAGTCCATTTGTCGTCCCCCGTCGACCTGGGACCGGTTTCGCCAGTGATGTACACCGATGCATCGTCGAGCCAAGGCAGCGACAGTGCGTCGAGTTATGCCGCGCTCAAAGCTCGCGTTGACGAGTGCGACGAACTCAAGATCAAGTACATGCAGGCGGAGCGCCGGTATGCTGCGCTGCGGTTGATGCTGCAAGAAGGCGAGGAGCATGGGATCACGAGTTGTTTGAAACGAAGCACGATGAAAAAAGATGAAACGATGGAGTTTATGCCGACGAACTTGGTCTGCCACTCCATCCGTGGGGGCGACCGCCTATGGGCCGTTGTCACACATGGCTGCTCAGCAGCCCATTTGCATGGATTCAAGGACGGCGGACTGCGCAAGAAATCCAAAGGCCACGAGCATCGCCTTGACGTTGTGTCGTGCCAACTGATGGCTGTCGTCGCGACGGCGTTCCTGACCAGCGTGCACCTGGCATTGGACCCAGACAACCGGTGGCCTGGCATGGCGAATCGGTACTTTCGAACATTCGAGATCGCGGCGCTCGTCGGGTACCTCGTTGATATCGAGTCGTTGCTGAGCACGATGGGCAACGAGAAAGGGATGTTGGAAGATATGTCGGAAGGCGTGCAATGGCTGAACCAACACGTATACATCCAAGTGACGCCGTGCGAAGGAGCTACGGTCGTCGATTGCTCGTCGATCGCACTCGACGGGGACACCGCCGACGTCGTGATGGCGTTTTCAATGCCACAACGCATGTACTTTGCACTCCCTTTGCCGCTGCAGACCCCACGACGTGTCAAAGTCACGACGGTGCTCTTTACCCAAGGCATCAACGAGGTGCAGTCCGTGGCCAACACGGTCGGGAACCCTTCCCTCCAAGACGAAATCAATCGCGAGAGCCTCATGACCCTGAATGACTACATAAACCGGTACATACCACATATTTCCCGCGACCAAGTGGACGAACTCGACCGCCAACGGACGGCGCTGCGAAACGCTGTCGACAACCAGTGCAACAGGAAGCAAGTCAACATCCTCATCGAGTCGAGCGAACTGTGTCGACGCCTCGGTGCAGGGCGTACCACATGCTGCAAGAGCGGCAAAGATCGCACGGCCATGTCTGTCACACTCGAGTTTTCGAAAATTCTCGTCGACGAATTGGGGGTCAAGCAAGGAATGCACTTGTGCCAAACGATGCGCGAAATTGGTGTGCGGCGGACGAACGTCTTCGTGAACACGGGAAAGACCATGTACGCGTTCAATGCGCTCCAGCTCAAGTGTCTTCCGAGCTGCTATCAGCCGCCACCACACACGGCGCATTCGAGTGTCACTTCGTAGGCGATGGCCTCTCTGGAGAAAACGCGCGTCGGTTCAAAGCAATAGAGACCGTCAAAATAATATTTGATATGTTGTAATTATCACTTGGGTTTGCATGCAAATCGAGGCTTCTACAAAAAAATTGCGTGTTTTTATTTACGTAAGTTGAAGTCGCCCTGAAAATTTATCGTTGTCCACGCGACGAAGCATGGACTTTCTCCAAGGCAAGCGCTTGCTCACGACGGCAGCAGACCCCCAAGCATCTAACACGTCTCCAATCTTCACCAGAGTACGAACGTCATCACGTATGTCGCTGTCTGAGAGTGACGATGAGATAGTCTCCCATGCAGTTGACGTCGTCCACGATGGGAGCTGCACCGACCTCCCCACCACAGGTAGGTGCATCCATGCAAGAGTACTTAAGCATGCTGAAGTGCCGAACCAATGAGTAGAACGCATTCAAGAAACGTCGTAAAGCACAAGATGTAAGACTGATCTTTGTGTGTCTTCGCGTTGTTTACGTCGTTCTAGCGGTTCTGCTTGAGCCCCCTTCAAGATAGCTCAAGCACTCCCGGCCTCGCGGTTATTGCAGCAACAAACTTATCGCCATCTCGACGCGAGTCGCAGCGTACGGAAGACTCTCGCCCTGTCGACCCCACACGCGACACTCTGAATGATTGTGAACGCATGTGTCCGACTTCTATGGCTTCATCACCTGTGTCCATCTTACAAAAGAGTACGTCAGACGTACGCCAGCGCACCTCCAAATCTCGTGATCCGTTGGTCCCCCATGCTACCCGCACATTTCCTTCTTGCATATCCATCAACTCCCCACCGAAGAATCGTCCCATCGAACAAGATTCGCTTCAAATGCCATCGGACATCTCGTCGTCGTCGATGGAGATCCCAGCACCGGTGGAAGCCCTTCAGAAGTCCCTTATTTCTACGTTTTGGTCTCGGCACATAACTCCCCCCAGTCAGCCATGGAATGCACTTTCAGTCGCCACGGCAGGTTCGTCGCGTTGTGCAAGCACGCAATTTCAAACTCATACATCCGATTCAGCCCAACCAACAGGCGCCGTCCAACTGGATGAAGACATACGGGCATACTGCCAACGAGGTCATTCGTTCCAGCCATCACTGTCCGTCTAATGCGACAGCAGGTCCTGTGTCGCGCCTGTCACGGACGCTTGGAAAGACTTGGTTGACCAACATGCTTCGCGCTTACGACATGCCATCAACGTTGTATGTCGTGGAATGCGACGACGACGACTTTTCGGTATGACCTTGTTGTAGAGCGCATGACGACGAGCACACAGCGGCGGCCGAGCGGCAATTGGCACTCGTGGTCGCACAAGCACAGGCACATTTTCACCCAGGAGAAAACAAACTCGACGAGTTTGTGACGGCTCTATTTAACGCCGTCGCCAACGAAATTTGGGACTCTTGCACGCACGACTTTGTCCACACGGTGGCAGGCCACTATCGCGACCTCCTCACAAACTTGCCAGCACTTTTGAAGGAGCGAGACACGAAATTGCTCGCTGCAACCAAATCGATTCGTCACTTCCAAGTAAGCAGCATCGACTGTGATGCTATCGTTGGTTTCACCGAGTTGCTATGTAGAACAAAGTTGTAGCGTTGCAAACCACGATGGAAACCCTCGCACGAGATAATGCGGCGCTTCAGACTCGGATCGACCGCGCAGATGAGAATGCAAAGTCCACACACGACACCATCCAAGACTTGGAAGGAGTGTTGCGCGATGCTGTCGCGGCGGAATTGGCGGCCACTGCCTTGGCCAAACAACTGGAGCTGCAGTAAGGCATATTTTGTTCGATCATGTCGGCCATGCCTGTGTCTGAGTAGAGTTCGTGAAGTCGAGAATTCCCTCGATCTTAAGACACAAGCATACGATCAACTCACTGCCGATATGGAAGAGATGAACCATCGATGCCTCGGGCTCGAACGCACTGTACTCGACACCAAGCAACTTCTTGTCGACGTATATACCCAACTTCGTTTGCATCGTCAGCTTGTCCCGAGTAGGCGACTCAAGATCGCGACTCTGGATTGCTTCAAATCAAGGTGTGTGACGCTGCAGGAATTGGACAACCTGGCCCCCACCACCGTTTGTAGGAGCTAACGGCCCAATCGGCTCAACTTGGGCGTGACTTGGCGGCTCTGAACATCAAGATCAGCGACATGCATGTGGAGCAACAAGTGCTCCATCTTCGGTTGAATGCCGAAGCGACTCAGAGCGAGGTGCATTTGGTCTATGAATGAGCATCGACATTTTCGACGACGTTTTTGGTATAGCGCCCTCCGCCAGCACACCTGGGGTCGTCACCCGGATCAATGTCTCAAGAGAGCTCAAACGACGCAATTACTGCGGCGCTGCAACGAAGGATCGAAGAGTTGCAAGACCAAGTGTTTCGCCAGTCCATCGACTTGGCCAATAAAGAGAAAGCGTTTCGATCGCTGCAGAATGAACAGGACCACAAAGACCAGCTTCTCAAACGCTTGGACGAGATGATTGAAGCTGCAAAAGCGGAAAACAATACTCTCCAATCCGCCCACGATGCCCTCTTGGTTCAGAGAGATGCGCTCAAACTACGACTCGACGCATTGCGAGCGGACGACGGGCAGGGCCAGCTCAAACGACAAGTCCAACAACTCACAGCGGACCGAATTCAACTTCTTGAAGAGCTTGCCCGTATTGTCCTAGAGCGCGATGTCGCCCTTGACGACCTCGCCCGAGGTCGACGCAAGCTTGAGAACATGCGACGCCACCTTGCAGTAGTCGTGATTGAGGTATATATGTCGCCTATGCAGCACACAATAGTGCATTTTATTTGTGGCCAAACAATGTCCATTTGACGTAGGTAAAGCGCTTGCGGGATTCCCATGACAGCCTTCGAGTCGCCGTGACCAAGCAGCTGCAAGGGTGCCAAAGCCATCTTGTCAGCGTTTCGGTAGGATAGACATGCCATGCCATCCGTGCGAGATGGAGCATTTCGTTGACATGTGCTATAGATGAGTGTTAACGCTACCATGGCAAAAGTTGCTGCTCGAGAGGCTGGTTTGTCCCATGATATTTTCAACATGCAACGCGCAACCGTGCAAGGCGACCCTGTCTTTCGCTACACTCTGCAACTCTTTCAAGTGCGTCGTCAATGGCACCGATTGCACTTTATGCGTATTTGACGCTACAACAGAAACAACTCCGCCGAATTCGAGCGTCGTGGACGGACCTCCGACACGAAACTGCTTCTGGCATGAATCTCCTTGCGACATACCATTTGGAGTAAGTAGGATGCTTCGACGTTGGTTGCGTTCTCAACGAATTCGCGGGACAGGAACACCCAACACGTACAACGCTTGGCGAAACACGCACATGACAAGTTGACACAGTTGCAAAAGCCCAAACCCAAGAAGCACCCCTTCATTTCCATACCCTCGACGAAGTCCATGAAACAGATTGGGATTGTGTCCAAGGCAACTGCAGTCAACACTGCGCATCGCGCGAACGCGACAACCCAAACGACTGTCCAAGTCGCACTATCACAAGGCGCCACGAGCGACGTGGCCGAGCATGTGACCAACGTCTTGCTTCCAGTAATCGAAGCCACGGAAAGGAAACTTATGGCTGTGATGGACAAAGTCGAACGACAGAAAATGGATCTTTTAGCTGCATATGAGCGCGAAGCAGAGCTGCGGAATCTGCTGGACAACTCCTCGGCATCGCCTCCGTTGATCCACGCCCCCGTTCATCCATACTCACAACCATCACACGATCGACTTGTTCGAAAAGAGACTCCCGACGTCATTGTCCTCTTCCGAGAGAAATTGCTGTCCATGACAACGTACGACATGCCGCCTAGCTGAAAGTCTTGTTCATACAGACGTAGGGGAGACGAGAATGCGCATCTTGCCTCGCATGTGGCGGATTTGTACGACATGCTGCATGCAAATTTGGACGAACTCGAAGCTGCGCTGGACGATGGACCAGCGCTGTACCTGCAGCGCCGCGACAGCCATGGCAGCATTGTGGCAGATTCTTTCAACCCAGTGGCGTTGAATCAGCAAACCAACATGCCGCCATGTCCCAGTCGTCACCCCTTCAAGCAGTCAAAAACGTCATCGCGCACGCTGTTCCCAGGCGCTCGGTCCGACCCACCTCTGACGAACTGCATTCAACAAGTCGATGCATCCAAGTCGTCATTCCCCCATGAGGACGGTGTGGCCGTGCCAGAGGCCACGTCGTCTACATTCAGCATATCCGTCCACGACGGGGAGATTCAAAACCTTCCTGTGGCTGTCCGCAAACGAGTTCACACTGCCGTGCTGAAGCTCGCTGCCACCGCGCTCTTTCAAGATGACATCAACGTCAACGACATTGCGTCGCTCTTGATCGCGAGCGATCCTAATGCCGACGTGTCGTCGCATGGTGTTGAAGACATCCGCGACGACCAACTCATCCAAAACAACGTGAGTTGTTTCTCGTTGGCAGCCACGGGCTCCAACCTCTCTCATGATGCCCCGTCCAACGAATCGTCCAACCACCAAAAGACAAGATTTCGACAGGTCGGTGACAGTGGTGCCCCTACTTATTCTGTGCCAGCGGTGAAGGTCGTCACTCGGCTGTTGGAACTCGTGGGGGAAGATGTTCACGCCTCGGAGAAGAATGCGGGTGATGCGACAACCCCCTCGAAAACATGGTTGCTCAAGCAGATTCGAAGCATATACCACGACAAGTACATTGCCGAGTCCCTCGAACACGCGGCGTTTAATGTAGTCCTGGCGCTCCCGGAATTCATCGTGCAATGGGCGTTCCTCAAGTTTGGAGTCAACGAACTCGTATCCAAGGCAAGTCATTTGGCTGCACACTTGTCATGGTCGAGCTGACGTTGTACAGAACTGTCATGCCATCATGAATGGGGCAAACGCGTGGAAGGCCAGTATTCCTGAAGTCAGTCTTTTTGCCGCGTTTTTGGCTGAAAAGGGTCAATTCGGGTTCGGCAAGTCGGACCTGTCGCTCTTTTTGCACGCCCGGCAGCTGGTACCGATCCCCAACCTACAACTCCTCGTGAGTAGCTGGGCTCCTCAAGTCTTTCGTAGGTCATGAATTGCGTCGGCGACCTGCAAGCTCTTGGCCATGATGACATGCCTCAATTGACGTCAACCCAGGCCCAGAACATTGTACATCGTGTCTTTCAAACATTGGTGCACGGCCACAGACACTTGATCTTGGCCAAGTTGGAAGGCTTGCTAAAGCCCATTACCCACTTACCCGAAGAAGATGTTGCGTCCGTCCACCAAGACCCGGCGCCCCAAGACAAACTGTCAGAATCTCCATCGACACTCCCATGTTTTAACTTCCAAGGGCTACCAGCGTCCACCAGTGCAGCATCCAGCGGTCACTTTCCGCAAGGGAATGTGAAGAAAGCCATTCCGAGCCACGTTCCTGACCCCAAGTTAATACTTGATTCTGCCCTGGACAGCTCGCGTCCATTCGGAGGTAAACCAGGACTACCCAAGCAAGGTCTCACGAGGAATATGGCACAGAGGAAAAATGGATCGACGTGCACCAGCTGCTCTTGTTTTGCGTTCTCGAGTTCCGAGAGGAGCGGCGTCGATTCTTCACAGACATGCAGGGGTATGTTGCCAACAAAAAACTTCGCGAGGATGTGGCCAAGGCAACGTTCGACAGCATGATGCACACGTTGTTCGAATGGACGCCATCGATTTGCGAGTTAATTTTTGAAGAAGCTAGCCAACATGGGTTGAAGAAGACTGTTGAGAGGTTGTTCCATGTCTCGTTGTTCACTCACCTGCGTGCTCAACACCGTCGTCATGTGTAGTGATGGGACTGTGCTCGTGGATTGCCAGCACCTCATGTGTATGGCACTGCAGTACTACACGAATCTCTTTGCTCTTGCTCGGTTCACCGACGGTCTCAGCGTCGACCAGACCGAGGTAATGACCCTTGCCCTCTTCATGAATGACGTCTCAGTTCTATGTTTTTAGGACCCCATCGCTTCCACGGACACCAGCTTTACGTTGCAGGCAGCTCCACGATTCCGCGCCCGCGACGTGTCCCGCGTGTGTCAATGACGCCAAACCTTCGCGGTTTCGTCAGGTTAAAAACACAAAACATTTTGTCAAAAAATGTGACACAAAAATTCGCCAAAATAGAAAAAAACATCCCGAATCAATCGAACGATCCTTAACATAGCCTCCAAAAAAAAGCCGCCGGAGAACCCGTCGATCGGCCATCATTTAGCCACGATTCGGACGGACGGGATGGAAGAGTAAGTTCGTCCAGTCCTTTTACGTGGGGAACTCGGCCAGGGCGCCGGCTATTACGTGTGAAGGTGCCAACAGGATAGCGCCCAACACCTACGACGACCACATCGTCTCCGAGTTTGCAGGACAAGATTGGTCGCGTCGACGACCACCAAATTCGGTCGATGGACGTGCCTAAGACTGACCACGCAACAAATCTTCACCACCTCGTGCTGGTCGTGGTCAAGCTGGACCGAGCTGTCCAAACGCGCAAAGTGCGTGGGACGGCGACAGCGCAATTCTGGATCGTGCACTCTAGTCTGCGTAAGGTCATGAAGGGTCGGTCCATCGTGCTCAGATTATCGGTCCATCTTATGATTGTGCATGGAGCAGAGAAAACGCATCGATCTCTTTGGCACAATCGGAGGAGATCTTGAGCTCACTCCACCAGCACATGCTTCAAGCAATATCTCCATGGATGGCACCTGGCGACCATCGCCCCCGAGTTCCATAGCATTCTCCGATTGGGTTTGTTCGGGTTAACGCCGCCGCCCAATGTCGGCGCAGGTGCCTAGTTTTGAACCTGGATCGGACGATATGGTTTCGTTCGTTTCGAGTACAACTCGCTTTTTTGCAAGTGGCGGCACTCTGACCATCATGTTGTAGCCGATTGGAACGGCAGATTTCGCATTGTCTTTCCACATGACTCACAGCACAGCTACGCGAACAGTTCACGTCTCGATTCGACCGAGTGTCCAGCACCTGCAAGAGACGCTGGCTCTGGCCTACGACTTTGTCGTATTCACTGCTCTCAGCACCATCTTGACAAGGAACTGTGATTGTAGATGACGGAAACTCTCGTGAATCAAATGGACCCTACCAGGCACATTCAATGCAGGCTGTATCGAGACTCGTGCAGCGAGCGAGTCCAGCGAGGAAGCTCCTTTCATCTTCACAGGTCGCTGTTCCTGGCGCCGGTGTCGCTCGGGCTTTCCAGACTGGCGAAGTTATCCAGGACTTGCGCGTCCTGGGCCGGCGACTTGAGCATGTCATGCTCGTGGATGACAAACCGCTTGTGTGTGGCGCGTGCAACGCCGACAACGTCCTGAATTGCGCAGAGTAGGTCGATTCAATAGGAGTGTCGGCCTGCACAGCGATGCTGTAGGTACTTGGGCGACAAAAAGGGCGAAGAACTGTTTGCCATCACTGCCGCCTTGTAAAAATGGCACGCCGTGGAGGATTGTAGACAGATTGTGTTGTCTTAACATGGAACGACTCAGGATATCTGACCGCACTTGCATGAACTGAGGTTGTCACGTCGCTGTGGCTCGGGCATCGTCGTCGCCAAGTCGTCTGCCGCATGAGACGACGTATTTGGCTATCTATTCCCACAGAGGATCAATGGCCATCTTCAGTTGGCGTTCGCGCTCGCGACTCCGTCGGCACTTTTTGATCTATCAAGTCACGACTTCCATGAAGTTGAGTGGTCTAAGCAAATGGTGCTGCCGTACTGCAGATTGAACGTTTTGTTGCTCTTTGTCGAGCTGCACCTTCAAGTCTAGCACGACAGCCTCGAGTCGGGCAACTTCAGGATGGTCGTGCGTCGCGCTGTGCAGCGCGGCTTCAAGCGCAAGAATTCGCGCTTCATACGCCTCGTTTCGTTCATGCTGCCGAGGTCAACATGCAGCGTTACCGTTTGGTAGTGTCGTACGGTTGAGGCACCTGTTCCAACACAAGTTTGGCCGCGATATCTTCGCCAAATTGAATCGCCGCGTCTTGCATGGCCTTTTGGTCCTTTACTTTCTGCAACAAGTACACAATGATAGAATCCTTTTCGTCCGATTTGAGAGACGTTAACGCCGTGAGCTGCTGGGAAGGCGTTGTGGCTTGTGGGGAAGGGCTCGATGCCTTTTCGTCTGGGCTCCACTGTGCCTGAAGTTTAGCCAGCGCACTCAAGATGGCTGACACGGGGCTCGTTGGCCGAGGTGAGCTTCTGTCATCTTGCAATATTCGACTGGACTAGAGATACCCACGAGCGTCGGTGCGGAGAACTCCTTTATGCATTTACCTACCATCGTTTCGTTGGCGATGTCGGATGTGGCCTTCGTCTCATGTTCGAATCTTGACGGGAGTTTCACATTAAAATAGTGTGAGATACACTATTTCATGGCAAGTATGCATTATCAGTGAAATTTCCACATCGAATTCGATGACCGTCTTTGCCATCTGTGCCCGCCGCGGCAGTCGGGCCGTGCGCGCTGGCTGGGCAAGGATGTACCACAGAACCCACTCTCTTCAAAGCGCAGTGACGTCTCCCTTCGGCACACTGCTCGGAATCACGGATGGAGGCGTCCACGTGTACAGCAGTGACTACACGACGTTGGACCCAGAAGTGCAGGCGAACCGTGCGTACTTTCAGAGCCTCCTCGACGGCGTCACGACAGGATACAAGTGGCAGTGCGTGGAACTCGGCCGTCGTTACCTTCTTGTCAACTATGGCGTCGTCTTTGACAACATTGCGATGGCGTATGACATCTTTCGCTTGAAGTACGTGACTCGCGTCGCCGACGGCAAGTTGCACCCGTTGCATGCGCATCCAAATGGCACATCGTCCACTCGACCGACCAAAGGATCTCTTTTGATTTGGACTCCGTCGGGTGAATTCCGACAGACCGGTCATGTCGCGGTCATCGTTGACGTCGGCAGCTCACACATTGACATCGTCGAACAGAACGTGCACAACGCCGTGTGGCCGTCGACACAGGCTTACTCGCGCCGACTGCCTCTGCATTATGACCCTGACATGAATGCGTATACGGTTGCATGCACTTACAAAGACGGTGTTATCTTGGGGTGGATGACTGTCGACCTCGACGATGAGTACAAGTACGACGACTTGCATCCTTTCACCGCGTCCGACCTCGTTGCGCCATCTGCCGACCATCCCAAGGAGTACCGCATCCCGCCATCTGGCGCACTTGCCCTCGAGCACGCGACCAACCAGCTACACCACCTCATGCTGGACGCGACCGACTACGTGCTGCAACACTCGGAGCGGTTCATCGGGGCTTCTGGCATCCCCGACGCGTTGTGGTCGCCCATCCGAAAGTCCTGGTTTGAACAAAAGCCCGACGATCTCGTGTCCCAGTTTGAGTTCACGCTGACCAACGACGGCCTGCATTGGACGGGATTCTCGAGTAACACGCTCCCAGATTACGTGTCCGCATCGCACGACTCGACGGTGGAAGCGACGCTGATCCAGGCGTGGCGCGCCAAGGCCATCGAGACGCCTTTGCACCTGTTAAAGGACTGTCTTGCCCACGAAGAGTTGGCTCTGTCCACGGCGCATGCCGCCGGCCTCGAGTGCCACTCGCTTTGGTCTTTAAACGACCTTGTCCCGGCCAAAGATGGTGCCGGGTTCCTCGACCCGGAAGGCCGCCCCGTCCGGACACTGTGGCACGCGACCCCGTGGTCCACCCTCCTCCGACACAACCACCCGGCCCTGCTCTGTCCATCAATTCGATGGATTGAACCGCTGTGGACAACGCTCTCCAACTCGGCAGTCATCGCGCCGCTGCTCCGCGATTTGTATCCGCACCACCCGATGCTCCAGGCTGCGCCATCTGTCAGTGGAATTCGACTCATCACATGGGCTGTGAAAGGCCAGTTTGCCGCCGCCGCCGTCCAAGCAAAGGCGTCGACGCTGCCGTTGAACGTGATTCCACCGCACGGTCAAACATAGCATCGAGTTGTGTGGAGTAAAGGCCCTCATGAGACCAAAGGACCATCGCAGCGGGCCCGCTGTAGCCTTGAGCTCCTTTCCAGAACTCTCTTTAGCTTACACCACAGCGGGTTGCACATTATAAAATAATATATTTCCGGTGGTTCTATTCCTCGTCGTCTTGGTCGGCTTCTTCGTCGTCGTCACCGTCCACTTCGTCATCGTCCACTTCGTCATCGTCCACTTCGTCAATGTTTTCATCACCGTCGGCATCGTCTTCGACGCCATCGCCCTTGAGCACTTCCGCGTTGAAGGCCGCAAGTTCTTCCAGCGTCACGTCCTGGCCTTGATCCACGAGTTGCTGCTCCTCGGGCTTGAGCGGCGGCGCAATAAACCACGGCAGCTTGCCTCGAATGAAGTCGTTAATGACTTGGACCGCTACGTTGTTGTGATCTGCTTCGCCTTTGGGGAGGAGCTTCCCGCTCTTGATCGCAAGCTGGTCGAGAAACTGGTTTTCGTCCGTCCAGTCTTCAATGCCGTACACTTTGACCACGTGTTCCTTTTTGACACGTTCAAGGATGGGCAGGATAAACTCGGCAGGTTGCGGCAGCTTCTCGGCGCGGACAACGCCTTTGAGCACGGTCTCGACTTCGCTGTCGTTCACGCCGTCGTACACAACACCAGGGCAATCGATGAGGAAGATGCGGCGCATGAGGGTAATGTACTGCCAGACCTTGGTCTCACCCGGAATCGGTGCCACCTTGCACACTCGTTTCTTGCGAAGCGCGTTGATGACCGAGCTCTTGCCAACGTTCGGGTACCCGATGATTCCGACACTGATTTGCTTCTTCTCCTGGTGGAGCTTGGCGAACTGGCGCAATAAGTTGATGAGCGCGCCCTTCCCAAATGGACTGTTCAAGCTCGCGTGGAATGCCAGCGTCGGTGTCGTCTTGCTCAAGATCTGGACCCACTTCTTCGTCACCCAGTTCGGCACCAAGTCGCACTTGTTGATCACGTACACCAAGTGTTTGTGCGACGCGTTATTACGCAAATGGCGCTCGATGTGTTCGCTGCGGGTGCCCGGTACATTACGTGCATCCAGCACCTGAATTACGACGTCGGAACAGTCGAGTACCTTGTACAGCTCGCCCCAGATGCGGCGACTCTGGCCCTTGTTAAACACGTCGTGCGATGTCGCGTCCTTGAATTCCTCGACGACTTGGATGTTGCGATCTACGCCCTTGGTCTCATACTTGTCGGTCTGTTCGTTTGCGCGGCTCACGAGCGCCTCGAGGTCGCTGACGCCGTTCAACTTGGCGCGCTTTCGCGTGCGCTGTTTCCCAAACGTTTCTTCAAACGTTTCTGTCTCGAGAAGCTTCATTCGCGTCACCTTGGCCGAGTCTTGGATCAAACTCATGGGCAGCTTGCGCGTGCGCAACACGACCGAGTACGGGTCCGCAGCCTTGACGTTCATTTCGTTACGGAACTTGTCGAGTTCCTTTTGGCCGACGACTCGGGTGTTGCCGAACCAACGGCGGTCAGGCGCAATGCGAGAAGGCGCGGACGCGTCGTTCATCGTAACACCACCCTGACGACCTGCCATCATCAGACTACCACCGACGATCTTGCCCTGCTTGTTGCGAATGGGACCAGAGTTCCGATACATGTTGAGACGGTTGATCGTGCCCTTGTCACGCATGTTGGCAGCCTTCTGCTTCTTGGGAATCTTACGGTTCGGATTGTCTGCGCTAGCACCCTTGGTGTTGAGCCCCATGCGCTTCTTCGGCACCTTTGTTGGCGGCATGTTGCGCGTGTCCCGAGTCTCTTGACGGAATGCAGTATTGACCAGTATTTTTTTATCCATTGCGTGAGGGCCAATCACTTTCCCAGCCCAATATTATCGCTGACGGCGAGATTTTTTGTTTTGTAACCAATTTCAACTTGATCTTTGTAAGTCTCCACGGAATATAATATTCAGAAGATCAGTTTCGTGCCCTGTCGGTTACATCTGCCAATCAACGGCCGTGCTGGATGGGGCGGCGCCAGTTACACGGCGCAAGGCAGGCACCTGCTGAACGGCCATGGAGCTGAGCTAGCCCACTTCGACAACGCACAGGTGAACGGTACCCCCCTACTCGTTGGTTGGAGATTCAGCTCGACATGCTCTGGAGACTCCATTCCTGTTATCAAGTAATGTATCCTGAGATCGAAGTTGGTTTGTCCAACAAACGCAACCCGCGGTAGATGTCAAAATGCGCACAATGGTCGAGGTGAATTCGCCAGCGTGAAGGGCACTGTTCCATCTGCACTGGTTGATGGAGCGACAGGCGAAGGTTGTGTTTGGTGGCCGCTGATAAGAGGCTGTTCGCTAAGTGAGCTCTGGGTTGTTATGACAATATTGCCAAAAACGTAAACATCACGTCAAGATGATCGGGTGACTAACTCGTTCGTCGTCGCAAGTGATGATCGTGTGAACCGCCAAATTTACTCTCATGGCAGGACCTTCTTGAGGAACGCTTCGAGATCTCTGAGCTCCTTGTCGTTCGCTGAATGCGCCAAGCCCGGGTACGTTTCAAATTGGACGTTGTGGCCCAAGGAGATGAGGCGGTCGGCAAAGGTGCGGCCGAGGGGGGTCTTCACCACGTCGTCGGAACCACCGTGGCCGATGAAAACATTGAGCGACTTTGACGGAAGCGACGTGAGGTAGCTTTCAGAAGGTAGCCAGCCACTAAGACCGACCACACCAGCGAGAGGGGTGTCGATTTGAAGACCAGTGTACACCGCGAGGAGTGCACCTTGGCTGAAGCCACCAACGACGATGCGGTCGGAAGGGATTCCCGAAGCACCAAAGCGAGCAATGGCATCTTGCACCTTCTTTACGGAATCCGTTAATCCTTTCAACGGTTCGTTGGGGGCGGAAGCAGGTGTGATGGGGATATCTTTAAGATCAAACCATGACGGACACGGGCCGCCATTGCACGTCACGTAGCTAGTGGGAGCATCTGGAAACTCCCATCGAATGTGGCGAAGGTTGGAGTATTCGTGGCGAAGACTACTCCACCCGGCGCCAGAGTCGCCGAGACCGTGCAGCCAGATGACTCCTGCTGGTGCACACGTGTGCGCCGCCATGATTTCCAAATGGACACTGACAAGCGTGCGGTGAGGTCGAGGTGACAAAGATGCGTTCTCATTGGTTCATAACACAAATGATCAGCCAATCAGAATTCTCTACTACACAATGAGTACATTGGATTGGCTTAAATTTCTTCACCAAGCCGTTGAAATTGTCCTTCATCCCAAGTTGTTCACTTGACGGGCGGGAGAGCGACGGCGCCCATGCCACGTGCGTTGTTCGAGAGTCTTGAAGCGGCGCAGAACTCGCACTGCTTCGTGCTACATGTGATTGTAGTGCCAGCGCGTCAAAGGATATTGAAGCAGTGCTGGGAAGTGGCATCGCGATATCGATGCCATCGTCGTCTTGCTTCGTCGACGCAATCATGCACAGATGCATGGTGGGCTTTGAAGGAACGGGTGAGCGGCGGCCTCGAGAGCCGTCATTCGGTTCGTTGGGTCCCGCGTCAGCAACTTTTTCAGAAAGTCCACACATGCCGGAGATACGTGTTTGAAATCTCGAGGGCAGTACATGGCATCCTCCTGAGTGCACATGTTGTACGGGTAGAATGGGGAGTACGCGACGAGTGCTTCATACGCCACGACGCCCAGTGACCACATGTCCGCCGACGGCGACAGCGGCTCCTTGCATAGGAGCTCTGGTGCCATGTAGCCAAAGCTTCCCGACATGACGTCGTTGGAGAGGGGCAGGCCCGGGTGCATTCGCACGGCGTTGCCAAAGTCGCACAGCTTTGCAACGGGGAAGCAAACTTGGGCTGATCTGTCGAGGAGGATGTTGCCTGGCTTGATGTCTCCGTGGATGACGTTAGCAATCGTGTGGAGGTATACCAACGCGGCCACGATGTCTCGGACGACGCAACGAACGATTGCTTCAGGGAGGGGACGCTTGGGACCGCGGGGACCAAAGTCGGCACTGGTGCTGGCTTGGTCGACATACGCATGCATCCAGTCGTCCAAGGTGCCACCGTCAACTTGGTCCATGACGAGGATGTAATGGAACGACGAGCTAAACGCAGCGTGGAGATTCACAATGTTGTCGTGATGCAGCCCGTGCAGCACGGCAATCTCTTCGAGTGCCTTGACGTTCTCGATGTCGGACTTGAGACCAGCCTTCAAAACATGTTTGATGGCCACGGGGGTGTTGGTTGTCTTCTCGCGGCCCAAATGCACGCTGGCGTACGTGCCCTTGCCCAAAACACGCTCGGATGACTCGTATCGCTCGTCAAAGTTAGTGTCGAAGAAATTTGGACCTTTCGAGATGCAGCTGAAGGATTTGCGGAAGCGCGGGCGGTGAAGAGTGAGGTGAGCCGGAAGAAACATGTCAACGAACCGGTCGCACTTGGGGCAATTGGTGTGGCTCCCCAGCCATCGCACGATGCATGAGCCGTGGAAGTAATGGCCACAGCCCGCGATAAGACATGTGGCACCGGACGAATGACAGAGGCTGCATGCATAGGGGAGCATCCAACCATGGGTTGCTTTGGCAATGCCAACACTTGAATGCAGGAGCTTCTGCTTGGCGCTCACATGTCGGCAGCGAACTTTTTCAGTCTCAAGCAGAGGTGGTTGAGGATTGCAATAAGTTTCGAGGATGCGCTGTCGGCGGTAATCGGCCCATTGCCTGGCCTCGTCGAGAACAGGATTGTGGTTGATTATGCGCGTCAAGTCCGAGTCCGAGTGAACTCGATGGAGCGACGACGGGGGTGCGCTGGCGGGGGAGATGGCACTTTTCAGCATCGATTTTTCGGAAATGCTTCGATGCAGTTGCAGTTGCATCAAATTATCTTGAACCGCGTTTTTCTAGCGCTACGTTCCCAGAACGTATGAATATTTCACCATGACATCCGGACAAATTATTCCAAAAACGCTTCTCTATCGAATTGTTCGCTGAAATTCTTTAAACGGAATGACGCGTGCGTACCTTATGGTGGCATTTTAGTAAACTTTTTCGACCGACAAGGTGCACGAGTGATATCACGCACGACATGAAGTCGCCACTTGAATCGCCATCGAACGTTTTTCACGCTATGAAAATAAAGATATTATACGTTTGCTGCAAATACAATGAGCTCTCATCATCGGAAAAAAGCCATCACAGACGTTGCCATAGAAGACGAACGCATCGCAGCTCAGCATCGGTTGATATGACCGCGACCACCGCGAACGTGATCCCACTTTTTGACGTATATATACATTCATTTCTCTTACTTATCCATCATGCAGGACAATACAGTCATGTATTATGAGCGGTGTTGTTCTCGAACCGAACACAGTGACGTATCGCGGTCATGTCAGGTGCATACTATCTTCATATGGCATTTCATAATATCTGTACTTTTCAGAAACTATTGTGACCGAAGAACAACAACTTCAAGTTTCGTGTCGTATGTTGGTCATCATTTCCATCACCGCCGTATCACGCTCGAGGTTCGTCGACTGATGTGCAAAGGATGAGGCACGCAAGCTCCGTCCACGTCGACAAGCTCGACCGACGCAAGCAGCTCATGACGCACGTATACTCTTACGTGTGCTTTTTCTTTGACACGAAAGACGTTTCCGACGGACGAGTGGAGTCTACTCGACAGAACATGGCCATGCGGCGAAACCACACGTTCAGCACCAACGCGCCGTCTGCAATGCGCCTTTGCACATATCGAGCACACGCGCAACGCGAGACGACGCACGCAGTGAATTCAAAACTGGCTGAACAACGGCTCAAGAGGCGGATGATGACTTGAGCTGGCTGGATGCGGCCATGCGCTCGGACCACTCAGCACGAATTATCAGGCGAAGCGATGTATGTTCGGGTTCACCATCTTTGCAGCTTTCATTCATGCAGAGCCAAGATGTCGGACACTGGGGTTCTTTTACTCGACAAGATCTTGTCGCTATATTTAGAGGGAACAATCGGTGGCCTTGAGCGAGTGACACGCGATGGGTTGTGGGCAGAGTGCGTTGAGGAAGGAGATCGTGGGGCTGCATGCGCTGGAGGCAAAACGAGCAGAAGAAATCTCCAAGCTTGAGGATGAGCGGCGTATGCTGAAGTATAAGATGTCGGTCCTGGAGGACATGGTACGCTTGCCTGACCTGTAGACGAACTCAGCGACATCCGACTGCCATGCAGGTCGCGACGGCCCAGTTGGAAGCACAAGAGAAGATCGCCGCTGCTGCCGTCGCAGAAGAGCGCATGAAAGTGATGAAGTGGGAACTTGTGCGACAGGCAACGATCCCCAAGACCCCTCGGCAGTCGTTGCAGTGGGCACTAAATGACAAGACGCTTCAAAAGCTCACAAAGACGGCGTCGACGCGCGAAGCAAGTGCCCCCACGTCCACAAAACCCTCCACGTCAGAGTCGGAAGCGATCGCAACGCCAAGCAAAGTTAGCAACGAGAACAGCTTACCTCAGCCAACGTCCGCCGTTCAACGTGCTGGCGGTGTCCCCACACAGGCAACTGCAGCAGTGGCTGACCCCATTGCCAACAAGACTTCTTTGACACCCAAGAACTCGACTACCATCACACAGAAAGCAAACGAGTCGACGAGCGTCGCAGCAGTCGAAGGCAGTGCGTTGGTAGAATCCATGAATCCAGAGCTACAACGTGCAAGAACCCCTCGGAAGATCGTCGATCCGTCCGAAGTCGATGAGAGCAAGGAAGCATTTGGAGCTGCGAAAGCCATGACAGCGTCGTCGTCGCGGCGGACGAAAGACAGCAATGCCATCGAGCGCGGTAACTCAAACATTGGCACTCGCCGGCACTCGTCCAAGTCGATCATTCGGGGGGCACCCATGGGTAGCACGTCGTCGATGCGTCATCGGGATTCGCTGGATGGAAAGGCAATGGCCGAGTCCTTACAAAAGGCGGCGACGCAGTCGTCGCTCCAACTCGACGCGAACGAATCCGCCACGTCTTCCAGCAAACCCAAACTGTCGCCGAAAACGTCGCGGTCGAGCATCATTGTGTCGACGTCGTCACGCGAGACGTCTCCGACTGCTGCCAAATGCACCCCTGGTTTTGTTTTGTCCATGCCCCTCTCCAAGGCCGGAGCTGAAGACCTTCCTCCGCCATCGACGACATCGCCACCAACCTCGACACACCAAGAGGAACCGGAGGCAGAGCCGTCGACGGGCGTGACGGCATTTGCCCTCGACGAAGACGACGACGACGATGGTGCCGTCGTGTGTTTGGACGAGACAGCATTGGATGACTTGATGTAACAACGCATGGTCGGATGGAATGTGGCATGAGTTTAGCTTAGTTGGATAATGATCGACTTGGAATGGGGGGAGGGCATCTACTCGTCGAAGAGCTGGGGAAGCGCCACGAGGACGACGCCGTTCGCGGCAGACTTGTTGACTTCCCACCGCCCGCACCGGTGCTCCTTGCCAACGCCCGCGACGAGAAACGATCCGGTTTTGGGAAAGGCCAGTGCATTTACAAATCCGTCCATGGGAATTGACGCCACGGGTTCGAGGGATCGTTCTTTCAGGTTGGCTTTCCATAGCCGAACAAACCCATCCGAGGACCCCGTGGCCACGAGGTCCGACCGCGGCAGCACCGCGACACTGGTAATCCACTTGCCGCCGTGTGCAGCGCGCACGACGTACGTCGGCTTTTTCTTGCCGTTGAACCAGAGCGACAACGATCCTGTACACACGACCAGTCAGTGGGCCTAGATGAGAGACAGAGCCAAACCTCCATCGTCCCCCGTGACGTAGTACTCGTCCGAGACCATTGCGAGGCTGTCCAGCGAGCCAGAGCCGTGAAAGACGAGCTGGGTTTCCTCGGGGATTTTCCACACACGGAGGCTGGCATCGCGGCCGACACTGACGACGCGATCCTTCTGCAGGCAATCGATGGCGGTGATTTCGTTCTGATGACCAAACAAGGTTTCGACGTAGCCCATTTCCGTGAGGTTCCAGTGCTTCACCGTGCGATCGTACGAGCCCGAAAACAACATGTGCGCTTTCTTTCGAAATGCCAAACTCGAGATGGCGTCGCGATGGCCTTTGAAGCTTTCGAGCAGTTCGTTGGACGCGACGTCCCAGACCCGCAGGATCTTGTCGACGCCACCACTTGCGAGAAACTTGCTGTCTGAACTCACTGCCAGTGCCAGGATAGTCTTTTTGTGGTCGGGGATTTTCTTCTGAGGCTTCTTGTTAGAGGCTGCGTGGCTGTCGTCCGCTTCGTCGTCGAACGGCACGACCAATTTGGTCTTTGTGATGCCACCTTCGCCGATCGACCACTTCAAAATTGAGCCGCCCTTGGAGCTCGAGTAAATGACGCTCCCGTCTTCGGTGACGCACACGGTTGTCACAGGCAGCTTGTGGCCCTTGAGCCATTTGCACGATTCGTGATCAAACTCAAACTCTGCCAGCTTGTGCGCGACCTGCTTGAAGAGTTTGCCAGACGATTCCTGCACATCCTTTTCCAGTTGGGACGCCAACCGATCGGCCGGATCTGCGTCGTCGTCTTCGTCTTGGAATTTGTCTTTGAGTTTGCCCAAGTATGCTTTGGCAAGGCGCACACGCTTTTCGTCGTTTGTTTCGTTCGCGTACGGGTCGTCTTCGTCGCTGTCGGCAGCTTTCTTCTTGCCTTCGTCGTCGGACACTTCGTTGTCGGATGCAATGTTGTTGTTGCTGTCGCCCCAGTCGAACGCTTCGTCGTTCACCTTGGCCTTCTTGTTACCATGCTTGCCGTGCTTTCCTTTGCCCTGCTTTGTTTTGTAGTTGGACTTTGAGTGCTGTTTGCGCTTCATTGCCTGCCCCGAGCGCGCTGATTGAAGATGGAGCGGCACAACGTCACAAAACCAAGGATCGATTTGGTTGGTTTTAAGCGGAGCAATTTCACAGCACTCGAAATACCCGGTGTTTCGCTTTCTTACCGGTATCGAGACGTCGATTCACCCGGTAATTGGCAGCAATTGGACACCTTAGAGGACAGTTTGTCCAAAACGTAACCGCGATTCCCCTTGCCGTCCGACCGCTCGTGCTGCTTTGGCTAACCTCGCCAGACACGGCAATGCCCACGATACCATGGACCAAGAGCGGGAGCGATCCCCACAACGTGTTTGGATATTACTTCGCGTGTCGATGGCGAGGCTACGTCTCAACGGTGTGTTTGACGTGGTGAATAATAGCTTAGGTAGGTTGACGTTGCCGGCTAGGTGGGCCTGCAAGGCGATGAGAGGTCGGTTACTGTAACCTCTGTCGCTTGGGTAGCATCTCCTGGTCCTGTTGAATAGTATGCCCGTCGATAGAACCAATGCGATACTGTGCCTGAACTGTTCAAATGCCTACGCCAGTCAACATGCCCGAGCCATTGCGGCCGAATGGGTTGGCGTGCAGAGTACCGAAAACTTGTCAGTTCGCCGAGGGTGTGCCTCTGCTCAGGCCGACAAAACCGAACCGGTTCGAATGTGAGTTTCACCAGCGAAGCGTGGTGGAGGCTGCGTCACGAACCCAACTGAAAAAGATCGTGTCCATCGTTCGTTCCAAGATGCTACACCTCCAGCGTTGACACCGGTTTCACGGACGCGAACGAGAAAAACCGAGGACGTTTGATGCTGATTGTGCCGCGGTGGAGCGCCGTGGACAGCGCAGAGGAGCTTTGTCCTACGATCACTGGACTCACGCTGTGGATCATATACCGGTATACCCAGGTCTTTCTAGTCGCCCGTGGACTTGATGGGTGCATCGACCCCTAGCAGAGAGAGCCCAGTCAGACAGCGAGCGGCGTGCGAGCGCCCGGCGAGGCCCATTTCCTCGGTGGCAAGGTCTTGTTCGAGGCAATCATCGACGAATAAGGTCTGCATCCACAGCGCTGTGTCGCATGGCAAGGGTTGAAACGGACACCAGTCGAATCTTCCGGTGGTTTCGCAAAAAGAACATCGATTGAACATGTCATCGATCACTTGAAATTTGTATTGGCAACGACGACGGCGCTTCTTTATCTTAGCGACCAACGCCAGGACGTCCTGACACAATTTTCTACATCTATGCAACTTAAACGACGCTGACCCTGGGTCCGTTTAACGTTAACCACCCCTCGTTTATTCGAAATTCCAATTCTACGCGGGATTAAACTCACACTTGTCGCAACGACAGCAGTTCGACCGACTGGGTTAAACTGCCTGGTGCCAAAACGTACGTCTAAACCCTACCTCTGCAGCCCCTTTCTCGTCGTCGCCAATCAAATGTGGTTTGCATGCCGTTCACACCCTGACGGGCCAATCAAATCGGTCGGATCGTACGGTACTACAAGGGTGCCACGCACTCGAGTGACACCCGCGTGCCACAACAGAATTTGCGTGGAGCGCCAATGCTCAAGTTCCTCATGAGCCCCCGGACGAGTCCGTCCAGCTCGTTGTCGCCATGCATGGACCTGTCGGTTGTTCGCACCGGAGTCGTCCACGTCACGTCGATGGGGCTCTTTGGATTGTGTTTTTGGAAACCTCGCTATGTCGTGCTGACAACAACCAAGTTGCGGTGCTACAAGTTTGAGGGTGGCGACCTCAAGTTGGAGCTGGATTTGTCCGAGTGTGCACCCAGCGACATCCAAGTCATGCCGAACGACTGTACCAAGATCCGTAGCTTTGGAGCGTCCATTTGGCGCATTGCACTCAACGTTGGCGGGCAACGGTACTTCATCGCGCCTAGCTCCGAATACGAAATGAACATTTGGGCGCAAGACCTGCTCGAAACTGCACATCTACGCCAGAACCCCGCACGAGAACTGCGGCCGTCGCTCGGCGTAAACCCTCAGTACGTTGCCGGCGCGTTGGCGTTTCGAGTGGACCCGTCCGGCATCGGGAAATATCGATCGAGCATTCGACGCCCACCTCCACCACGTCCGAGCCTCGTTGAGATGACTGCCACGGCATGAGCAGCTGCTGCATCCAGCATATTTATAACCTAACTCGTAACTTTGCGACGAGCGAGTTTCTATTGTATGGTTACAGGATCGCAATGTCGTGTGTGGGGGTTGCTTTCCCCAGGATGACGCTGAAAGATGACTCGTCGTGGTCTCTGTCGCGGCGTTTCTCTGCCTCGACGCGGCGTCGCGAACGGTACGACACGTACCCGAGCACCGCCAGTCCCAGGAGAAAAGCAGAGCCAAACGATATCGCCAGTGCATTGGATGCAGCGCTCGATTCAGCGCTTGCTCGTACAGACACTTGGTTCACCGTTTCCTGGTCATTGAAAGGTGGAAGCGTCGTGGTGGTGGACGCTGCTGGGGCACTGTCCGGCGATGGCTTCCAAGTCGTGTTGTTCGGGCTCGAAATCGGTGCTTCCGCAGCATGCAGCTCTTCTAGCGACGGAGGATTCGTCGTCGGACTTGTCGAGGTGTTGGCACCAGGCACAACCAATGGGGCTACAGTGGTGGTCTCTACCAGCACCTCCAACTGTTCGGTGGCCGTTGACGTGGATGGCGGTGTGGTGGGTGCAGATGTCGTTTGGGGCGGAGCAGTGGTGAGTGGGGTAGCTTGGGTCGTCGACGGTGGCTCTGTGGCTGTAGACGTGGTTGGAGTCGGCGGAGTTGTGGACGGAGGCTCGGTGGAGGGATTTGGTGTGGCTGGAGGTGGAGTAGGTGGCGGTGGCGTGGCGGGTGACGGCGTGACAGGTGGTGGCGTCGGTGCGGGTGGTGGCGTCGGTGCAGGGATTGGAGCAGGTGCGGGTGTTGGCGCAGGTGCAGGAGGTTGTGTAGGTTCGGGAGTTGGCGTAGGTGCGGGGGATGGTGTAGGTGCAGGAGGTGGCGTGGGTGCGGGGGATGGTGCAGGTGCGGGAGGTGGCGTGGGTGCAGGTGGCGCCGGTGGAGGAGGTACAGGGCGCGAGCCTCTAGCAAACTGTTGAGTGATCTGGGTGCACTTATCCGCTTCCAACGCAACCTTGACTTCGATTTTGTCCCCTCCATGAGATGTCATGGACACAAACGTGTCTGCCAACTCGACCGTGCCGAGCACTTGCGACATAAAGTAGTATGCCGAGTCAAAGATGGGAGCAGGGGCGCCGTTAATGTTCATGCTGGCAACGCCGTTCACGGCGTTGCTGGCTTGGACATACAGCCAATGCTTGCTACTGCCAGCCTTGGCGCACACTTGGACGCCACCGGTCACTGGGCAATCGACAAAGTCCCAATGGATCGTCAATCGATCCGTGGTGTAGCCCGTGATCTTGTTGAACATGGGCAACGACATATCGAGGTCACCGTGCGAGCACTCTGGGCAGCGATCGGTGATCTGACCAAGGACAGACTCGGTGGATGTACACCGCGGGTCCGTGCAGGTGACGAGGACACAGCGGCCGCAGTGCACGCCCGACGACCACTGTTTGTCATTCAGGGCAGCGTGAAACTGTGGCGCAAAGTTCATCCATGTCATGAGGGCGCAGTGCCCGCCTTGAGGGGACTCGCCACCAGGGGGGCCGTACGTCGTGGCAACCCCGTTGAACTGGGCCTGTGTAGTGGCCGTCAGCGCCAGCACCAACGAGGCAAACGTGGTGGTGGCGGAGAGCATTTTTAGATATGCGACCTGGCACGAGCTCGCGCCGCTTTGTCGGCAAGCCATCGCCACAGGTGTGGTGACTGGAGGGTGACCGGCTGCCTGCGCCTTTTTTGGTACGTGCGAGGCGCAATGTCTGTTCGACGAAATCAACTCTAGATTTCTACCAGCTGCCCCGTCCACGCACGACAACCCCACCGGCAGGTCACTCTCTTGCCGCCGATTAAGAATGCGTCAGCATTGTTGGCGAGGTCAGGCGCCTTGTCGCAGAAAAGGTTCGTCCAGTCCATCCCACGTGACGTGCGCCTCCTTTGGCGGCCCAAAAGAGGCTGTGCTGGTCGTTGTCGAGGACGCTGCTCGGTCGTCGGTCCAGCCTCAAGCGGCAGCAGTGGATACTCGTGAAAGGTGGCGTCATTGACGCTCGTTTGGGTGCGAAATCCATGCAAAGTTTGAACTGTACTGCAAGTGTATACAGCACGCATCCCCGTGAACTTGTCGGCAGGATTTTGCAGCCATTCTGTCCATCCAAGGCTCGGGTCAAGAGGAGGAGGGGGCTTGGGAGGCCGGCAGCGCACTGGCGCCAAGCGGCCGCCCTCTCGGTTTCCAGGCATCGCGGTCGGCGGCGCCCGCGCGTCCCATACAAATTTCAAGTCAGTTTTACGGGTCGACCAAGGAATGTTGGTCTGGGACTCTATACAAACCGCACGAGAACAATCCGCGACGTCCCGATTATGTCGCCAGAATGTTCCTGCCACAACCAACGCCGAGGTCGTTGACGGACTTGGATCCTGTGCGTCCGAAGGTGCCTTCATGCTGCTTGCATTCAAAACATCGACGCAAGTTGTCTAGAAGGAACTGTCTACGTATGGTGCCGGCCGTGGCTGCATTCGCTTTGTTTGGTGCATTTATACGCTAGTGGCATGGCGAATAAGGAAACATTTTTTGCCATGGCCAAGCCTCTACCACGTTGGAATAAAATCAGCGCCATCGGTATACAAACATCAAGTGTCGTACCAGCAAAGTTGCCCACGTCGAAATGAATTTGCGCGACATGCACCAATTCCATGTGGTCGCCGTCATGCCGAGTCGAGTTTGTAACATGCGGAGAACCAGCTCTCTCTCTCTCGTCGGCACGAGCGGCAGCCGCCGAACGCAATTCCTGAATTACACTGGAACGCATGCTGTTCCGACAAGTCGTCCTCGCTGCCACAGCCACAACACTGGCGGTGCATGCAGCCACCACATACTCGGGGCTATCGTCCACGTACGGCGGCCCGGACGGTGTCGAGGCTAGCACAGGTAACTGCGCCCCCATGAACCACCTTCCGACGGCGACCAAATACCACGTCGCCATGAACGACAAGCAGTACAACGAAGGGTTGAACTGTGGTCGATGCGTTCAAGTCCAGTGCACAGACTCGCGATGCACATCCAACAAAGTTATGACCGCTCAAGTGACGGATCGGTGTCCAGAGTGCAGCCATGGCGACCTCGACATGACGTTGCCGCTCTTTAACGAGCTCACAGGGCACTTCACAGACAAATACAAGATCGAATGGCAGTTTGTGGACTGCCCAGTCTCCGGAGGGGTCCAAGTGTGTGCGAAGGAAGGAAGCTCCAAGTTTTGGCTGTACGTCCAGCCAATGAACACGGTGTCGGGGGTGAAGGAAATGAAGGTGAACGGCGGCGCCGCGCCACCGTTTCTCCCGTGCTTCTACTTCATGACGACCAAACTCGGCGTCGAACTCGAAGAGACCGAAGTGGAAATGACGTCGTGGGCTGGCGAAACCATCAAGACCAAAGTTGCCCTCCAGGCCGGCGCGTGTACCCAGATAAGTCAGCAGTTTACTCGTGGACTGCCGACTTTTGATCCTTCCGACCCGAACCCGCCGCCCCCGTCGCCTTCTCCGACCAACCCTCCCCCAGCTCCATCGACTAGCTCAGCCAAACCATCGACCAGCCCCGCCCCGACCCCTCCTCCCGAGACGACGGAGGCTTCCACCACCACAACGGTCGCCCCCACTTCGGCTACTACCGTCGTCCCCACTTCCACCACAACATCGCCGCATTACGATACAGAAGCTGCCACCACGACCAACAACTCGACCAACTCCACGACTGACACGACCACGGTCCCTGTCCCCCCCACCACGGCTCCTTTGACGGACAGCGCTGACGCAACGACTCTGTCTCCGGCATTCACCGATGCGCCGACCACCGTCCCGACCAGCGTGATCGGTGGGACCGAGAACGTCGTAAGTGTTCAAGCGTCGAGCCAGGGCGACTCGGACAGCACACCGTACGTTGTTCTTGGGAGCGGGATGACATTTGTGATGGCCGTGATGGCCGTCGTGTACGTCGTCAAGAAGTCGCGCAGCAATTACATGGACGAGAAAGAATCCGAGTCAAGTCAGATCACGCGGTTTGGACAGGCCGACACGCGGCGCAACCTCGATTCGGACGTGGTCATGTTGTAGAGACCACCTCCCTCTCCAGGATGTATGTATGTCGAACGGACCGGTGGGAAATGCGTGAAAATGAACAACGAATGTAGTTGTGTCTACTTGTCTGCGGCACCGCGGCGCGGAGGAAACCGGCACCGTGGACGAGGAGGGGATGGAGGCTGAGCGCACTCGAGTACCCTCGCGATCAGTCGCCGGAGCTTCATAAATCCACTTGGACTGGGACCGATCACGCACGATCGTGTGGCAAACCACCGCCGAATCGATCCTGATGCCGTGGACGCGACGCGAGGTCGTGATGTTAGCTTCATCGCTACCAACCAGTTCAAATGACTGCCGACGCTTTATTGGGAAAGCTGTTCAGGTAGAATGACAGGCACCAATGGCAGCTGCAACAAAATCGACGAAGACGGTATGGCTCTGAAAGGACAAATCGCATTCACGTGTTCATGACGTGTTTCGCGATATGCATCGTGGATGTACCCGTAGCGCATGGCTGCCCAAGTCGACGAGTTCAAGTTGAATCCGCAAAAGAATACCCAGGATGCAATGCAGGTAGCATTACACTTGGTAATCGGAGAGGGCATGCGGGCGATGCCGAACGGCACGATTTTACGCGGAAGTCTGTGGCGGCATGGCTCTCACGTGTGTCGTCACGGTGATGACAACCACAGAATGCCGGTCACAGAAAGGGACCTACACAGCTACACAATGCTCTGTTTTACGCTATGGCCACAAGCACCGTCATATGCGCCGCGTGGGACGGTGTGGAGCGCCACGGCGGCCGCATCTCGCAGTCCCGTGGGAAAAAATGTCCGTTCAAGAAAATATCATCGAGCGATTTGATTGGTCATTTCGTATTAACAGCTTTGCACCAACCAAAAAGTCTGGCGGAAACGCCATGCTTCAAACACAAACTTGACCAAATGGACGTGAGCTTTCCGCGCGGTAAGAAGCCGAATACCGCCGAGGAGGATGCATCCAAGAAGCGGAAAAAGACGTCCGACTCGGAGGTCCTCTTTGGCAAAAAGGACAAGTCCATCGTCGGCGACACTCCGACCACTGCCAACGGGACGTCGCACAAGCGGCCCAAGCACCACAAATCGAAAGACGTCAAGTCGGACAAGGCCGCAACCCCGGATGCCAAGCCCGCACTGGCGCATACCATTACATTCAAAACGTTGCGCCCGCAGATGCTTGTGATGGGCATTGTCCGCCAGATCAACGACCACGACATCGTCGTGAGTCTCCCGAACAAGCTCAACGGTGTCGTCGTGCGCAAAGAAACGGCGGACGAACTCCACAACGACAACGCGTCGTCCGTGAAGCTCACGGACCTCTTCCACATTGGACAGTACGTCGCGTGTGTTGTCCTCAAATCGTCCAAGGAGGACCGCGGCAAGCGCATCGAACTCTCGCTTCGCACGTCCCTCGTCAACGCAAACCTAACTATCAAACACATGGTGAAAGGCGCATCGGTCTATGCCAGCGTCGTCAGTGTCGAAGACCACGGCGTGGTCGTGAACGTCGGCGTCCGAGGATTCACAGGGTTCATTCCGTCCAAGGACCTGCATCTGCCAGAAGGCCACACTGACGCGCACCCCGGGCAGCTCTTCTTCTGCGTCGTCGCCAGTGTAAACACCCACACGAATACGGCGACACTGACCACGGAGCGCTCCGTGGCTGTCAAGGCCGTCACGCGCGGTGATTCGTACACGATGTCAACGCTGTCGCTTGGGATGCTTCTGAACGTCAAGGTCGAGGACGTTCTGGCAAACGGGCTTCAAGTCAACTTTCTCACTTTCTTTTCCGGCACCGTTGAATTCAACCACATGAGTAACCCGTGCCAGAAGGAGTGGGCAGCCGCGTACAGCAAAGGGCTCAAGGGTCGCGCGCGTATCGTCGCCATCGATGCCGCCACCAAGGCCGTCATGCTGTCCATGGCGCCGCACATTGTGTACCTGCAAGCGCCGGAATTCAAGCACGTACGCGTCTTCTAATCCATGCGATCCGCCACGACTCACATTCGAGGTTTTAGGCGATTGGAGATGTCGTGCAAGATGCCGTGGTCCATCGCATCGATGCTGGCATTGGTCTCCTCCTCAGTTTGGCGGGTCCGTCCAGCGTCGGCGGCGAACGCCTCCCTTGGAAGGACTTTCGGCCGGCGTACGCGCACATTTCCCGTGTCTCGGACTCACGCATCGACAAGCTCGAAAAAAACTTTAAGCTCGACCAAATCGTTGCTGGTCGCGTCGTCGGGTACTCTGCGTTCGACGGGTTGGTCAACTTGACGTTGGCGCCGTCTGCCTTGTCCAAGGCGGTGCTCCGCCAGGCGGATCTCGTGCCAGGGTCTCTCATCAAGGGCAAAGTAGTGTCTGTCGAGTCGTGGGGCATCCTCGTCGATATCTGCGAAGGCGTGCGGGGGGTCGTGAGCGCATCGCACGCACCGTCCGTCGCGCTGAAGAAGACCATGTCCAAGTACAAACCCGGCCACGCGATCGAAGTCCGCGTGCTGCAAGTGGACATTGCGTCGAAGAAGACGTATTTGACGCTCAAGAAGGGCCTCGTCTCGTCCGACCTGCCTCCGCTGACTTCTTACGATCAAGCCACCCCTGGCACAGTCGCCCACGGATTTGTCACTAAAATTGCCGACTTTGGACTTATCGTTGGGTTCTACAACGGCGTGTTTGGGCTCGTGCCGGCTGCGACGTTGCACAACGCGGGGGTTGAGGACATTGGCGCCGCATACACCCCTGGTCAGGTGGTCAAGGTCGCCGTGGCCCGTTGCGACTCGACCAAGAAGCGCATGACTCTGACGTTTGACACGACCGGCAGCATGTCCAAGACGGCGGCAAAGGGATCGCTTCCTTCGTTGTCGCCTGCCGTTGCCGCCGGGACGGTCGTGTCAGTGTCGGTTGTCGAGGTCGAGGATTCGATTGTCCGAGTGCAAACCACTGACGGCATCGAAGGGATCGTCCCCGTCGTGCACTTGACGGACTTTCCCCGCGCGTTTTCGCCGTCGGTGGCCGTCGGAGATGCGTTCGATGCGCTCGTGCTGTTTCAATCCCAAGACGGACTTCTCCACTTGACCAAGAAGCCGACCCTTGTCGCGCAAAAGGCCAAGATGCCGTCGACCTTCAAGGACGTCGCGGAAGGCCAGGTCGTGACTGGTTTTGTTCGCGACATTCGGCCGTTCGGTGTATTTGTGAGCTTTCTCAACAACTTGCAAGCGTTGGCGCCGATTGCGTTCTTGACCGACCGCTTTGTGAGCTCCCCGGACGGGTTGTTTGAAATTGGTGACACGGTGCAGTGCGTTGTGCACAAGGTGGACGCGGAGAAGAACCAATTCATGCTCGACTTTCGCGTGCCGTCGCCGTCCGTCGATGGGCTGGCCGCGCTACTGGCCGAGCACGCCGCGAGCCATGCCCCCGCCATCGCGCATACGGTCGGCCACACAGAAAAGGCCGTGTTCATCTCGGCCAAGGCGTACGGCTACGTGTGTTCGTTGTCGGATGACGACACGACCGTTGTTGTTCCCAACACGACCCACTTGGACTGGACAGACAACGACAGGGTCAAGCTCCGGTTGATCGACTACGACTTTGAAAAGCAAGTGTATTACGGCCACGCGGACCCCGCGGAATTTGTCAAGGCTGGCGACAAGAAGGGTCGCAAAGCCGCCTCCCGCTTGACCAAGGACACGCCAGTCGACGCCACGATCGTTCTCGTCCGTGACGAGTACGCCGTCGTGACCGTTGCCGACTCGCACGCCGTGGCGCTGCTCCAAGTTACGTCGTTCCATCAACCGTCGGCGACGTGCGACGAATGGGCCCTTGAAGTCGGTCAAGTGCACAAGGTGATCGTAAAAGGACACGTGAAGGCCGGGTCCAGCGCCCCGTTCGACGACGTCCCGCTCGTCGTGCTCGCGTCGTCTTTTTCGAAAAAGCAACAGCTAAAGAAGAGTGATGCTAGCCATGAACACTTGCCCAAGTACCACGGGACGGACTTTGTCATTGGCGCGTCCGTGACGGGTCGCATCATCGGGATCAAGGAAGATGCGATGGAGCTCAAGATCAAGTGCACGACGAGCGCCGGCAAGGTGAACGCGTTCGTGTCGATTGTCGATGTGGACGGGACAACCAAGGGAACGCATCCGTTTGACGCGTACTCGGTCAACTCGATCGTGACCGGCCGCATTGTCGCCCTCGTCGAGAAAGGCGCAAACCAGCGCAAACCAGTTGGGCCAGACAACGTGGCCAACTTCCGCTCGATCAACGTGTCGCTGCGAGCCGCGGACCAAACACGAAACCACTTGACTCCCCGTGCCGACTGGGCGGATGCAGGGTATGAATTGCTCCAATCGGGCAAGTTCTTACCCGGGGTGGTCGTTGAAACGACGAAGGACGGGGTCATGGTGCGTCTCAGTGCCCGCGTCGTCGGTTTTGTGCATGTGCTAGAGCTGTCCGAGGACCCGGCGGCACTTGCGTCGTTTGCGCAGTCGTTCCCCGTCGGCACTCCGCTCTCTGTTCGTGTGCTGTCGTGCGACCGCGAGGCCAAGACGTTGGACTTGACCACTCACAAGGAAACCCGCTCGGGATTTGCCGTCGGATCTGTCGTCTTGGGCCGTGTGAACCTCAAGGTGCGTGCGTTGGCCGCTCCGTCAGTCATGGTCCAAGTCGGCGCGCATACCTTTGGTCGCATTTGTGTGACGGAAGTCCATGACACGCCGTCCAACCTGCCACTGGCGGGATTCGTCCACGGCACGTTTGTGCAAGCAGTCGTGCTGAGCAACGAACCATCGTTGGAACTCACGGTCAAATCGTCTGCGCTCGCCAACCCGACCGAATACGTCGCCGCGGACTGTGCGCAAAAGGGCAAATTGCCCCAAGTTGGTGACCTGGTCTCGGGTTACGTTGCCACCGTCGCAACGGGCGGCGTGTTTGTCCGCCTGCACCGATCCGTCACGGCGCGTGTGATGCTCCGCGACTTGAGCGATGACTTTGTCAAGGAGCCATCGACGGCGTTCCCCCCTGGGACTCTCGTCGCCGGCCGTGTGACCAAGGTCGAGAACGGTAAAGTCGAGTTGAGCTTAAAGGCGTCGATCGTGACCGGCGGGCAGATGACCGTCAAGTCCCTCCAGGTCGGCCAAACTGTCAAGGGCACGATCCGCAGCATCCAGGCGTACGGCGTATTTGTACTGCTTGACAACAGCAGCGTGAGCGGCCTTTGCCACATCAGTGAGGTTGCCGATGCCAAGGTCAAGTCGCTCGACGGGGTGTTTTCAGTCGGCGATTACGTCAAGGCCAAGGTGCTCAAGGTCGAAGGCGGGCGCGTTTCACTCGGGTTGAAGCCGTCGTACTTCGAAAACGAAGAGAGCAGCGATGACGAAGAAGATGACGAGGCAGAAGTTGCATCCGATGACGACGAAGACGTTGACATGGGTGGTGACGACCAAGGTGCCAAGGACGAAGACGAGGAGTCGCATGACGAACACGACGACGCCATGGGCCAGGACGACGATGAAAGCGATGACGACGATCCAGAGCCCGTGGAAGCGCCTCATGCCGACTTTACGTGGGATGGATTCTCGATTGATCAGCCTTCGACCACCTGTGACGACGAGGAGAAGGACGTTGACGACGATGAAGCGTCGCAGTCCAAGTTGAAGCGCATGAAGAAGCGCATGAAGGAACACGAAGACATGTACGTCGCATACCGAGAACGTGCGTTGGCGGCGGGTGACAGTGTCCCTGAAAGTGCCGACGATTTTGAGCGCCTCTTGGCTGTGTCCCCGCAGAACTCGTTCCTGTGGATCCAGTACATGGCATTCCATGTGTCCCAGACGGACATCGCGGCAGCCCGCGACGTCGCGACCCGCGCCACGTCCAAGATTTCATTTCGCGACGTGCAAGAAAAATTCAACGTGTGGGTCGCCTTTCTCAACTTTGAGCACGACCATGGCGACGAAGCGTCGTTCCAGCGCGTTTTCAACTCGGCATGCCGCGCGAACGACCCGAAGAAGGTCTATCTCCAACTCGTCGAGATCTACTCGCGGCACAACCAAGTCGACGACGTCCTTAGCACCCTCAAGACCATGCAAAAGAAATTCAACACAAGCGCCAAGGTCTGGCTCCGAGGTCTCAAGTACCACATGGCGGCGGACGACGCAGCCGCGGCCCGGCAGCTCCTTTCGCGCAGCATGCAGTCGCTACCCAAGCACAAGCACGTCAAGGTCCTGACCAAATTCGCCTTCATGCAGTACGAGTATGGCCAGCACGAACACGGCCGCACCGTCTTTGAGCAGCTCGTTGCAACGTACCCGAAGAAGATGGACCTGTGGAATGTCTACTTGGATCGTGAGATCAAGTATGGGTCCCAGGACAGCACACGCCTCTTGTTTGAACGGGCGTTGAGTCTGTCGCTGTCGGCCAAGAAGATGAAGGCGCTGTTCAAGAAGTACTTAACCTACGAGATCGACCACGGCACGGACGCATCCGTCGCGCACGTCCAAGCGCTGGCCGCCGCTTACGTGGAAGCGTCTGCTTAAGCAAGGACAGCTCAGTCGTCGCCGTAGCAGCACACACGAGGGCGTATTTACATTACCATAGTCAACACATGATACAACGTTTCTTCGAGTTGGATGTGTTCACCAAACGGGCTCAAACACACTAGAGCTCGACGACGCGAAGCGTGTTGGGGGAGGGCTTCTTGGAAGCAGCCACCGGTGTTGTGTGGGACTCATCCTGACCAGCATCACGGCGGGTACGATGTTGACGTGGGCGGTGAGAAGAACGCTGTCTGCGTGATGAACTATCCGAGGTTGTAGAGGCTTGCCTGGGCTCGACATCTCGTGTTCGTCGGGGTTTTAGTTCGTTGGAGCAAGCAGGATGACGCGAAGTGACGTCATCTGTGGCAACACTTGTCGTGGTGCCTACGTAAGGCTCAGAAAATGAAGGCGTGTCATCGAGATGGATTGCATCCAAGGACACGGATTCATCTGGCATTGATCGCGATTGTGATCCGCTTGGCTCCGGTTGAGCGGAGACGGATCGGACGACGCGAGGACGGTATACAGGCTGCTCGTCTTGTGGCACAAAGCCTGATCGGATACGGATTTGCTTACGTACAGACCCGTCGGAACGCTTGGACGGTGGGATGACCACTTCCCCCGACTCGGTCTCCATGGCTCCCAATGGAATGCGTCGAGTTTGCTCGCGCATATTCGAACGTCTGTCATCAAGAGAAAGCGAGTCAATTCGAGTTGACAAATCGTCCGGTTCGCTTGGGGCAGTCCAGGCACGTGCCGGGGAAGGTTGTTGTGATGGCGATGTTGCTTCTGCCGCGCCGAGTCGCAATGCCCTGGGACGATACACAGGCTGCTCATCCTGGGGCACATATCCCTGTCGCACTCGAATCTCCTTTCGAACGCTTCCATCTGCGCGGGTCGTCGGAGGAATCACAACGCTTCCATCCTTCGTTTCAACAGCGCCAAGCGGTAATCGACGCGGGTGCATGACGGTCAAAATCACGGTCTGAACATTTAATAAATTTCATTGGCTGAAATGCGGTAAATCGAAACAATACAGAATTTCTATTGGCCATGTTTTGGCCGGGTATTCGGCAATTTTCGACCAGATTTCTTGATGGTCAAAATTGGAAACATGTCATTTCGTTGGAATTTGAGTGTCGCTGCACTAAAAATCTACCGCTTTCGATTGGACAGTGGGATAGTTGAGGTTTTGCACTGGCTCTCGAGTATTTGCTCAACAATCTCATTTCTTTTTGCATTTTTGGTGTCGTTGAAGTGGCGAAAATGGCCAAATAATGCACTCGACTGCCCATTATTGGAATGCATCGCTCTCCCTCTTCACGAAAGTACTCAATGTTTCTGGAACGAGGAGGAAGAGTATATTTTACGTTGTTGTTCGCTACAGCTCATCTTTCTTCTTGTCATCCGAAGCAGTCTGGACGTCATCTGTGGCCGCGCCGTCGTCCTTCTTGACGTCGGTGTCGGCATCTTTCTTTCCTTCCGCAGCCACGTCATCAAGGTTGGTGGCTTCGCCTTCCGTTGCCGTGGACGAATTGTCCTTGGCCTTTTTCTTCTCATCGTCCTTCTTTTCGACTGGCTTGGGCTTCTTGCTCAGCGCAGTCACCAATTTCTTGACCGAGGAGATCTTCTTGAGGACTTGACCCGACGTCAGCACGGGCATTTCGTGTTTCGCGACTGCATCCTGCTTGGCCTTTTCCTCCTGAACCCACGTCGCCAATTCATCAACTTTGGCGACAATGTCGGCGCGCTCCGCGTCCGTCACTTGCGGCTTCTCCGTCACCCATTGCTCCATCAAATCCTTTGTCGAGATCACATATTGTTCGGCTTTGTTGATCGCTTCGGGCAGCGCCGTCACTTCACTCACACGGAACTCCAACGCATCCAACTGAGCGCGCAGGGGAGTGAAGCGTTCGTTGTACGCCTTCGCGTCCAAGTTGTCGCCATCGTCGTACAACCATTCCTCCGTTGAGTCGACTTCCGACGTCAGCTTCTCACGTTGCTCAGGGGTGCTCACCGCCGTCAACACGTCTTCATGCTGACTCAAGTACTCGCGGGCTTCGTACACAAACGATTCGAGGCGGTTCTTGGCTTCCGCATTCGTTTTGCGGATGTTGTCGGCCTTGTCGAGTTCGCTCAAAAGGGCAATCGATTCCTGCTTGGTGCGAACGCTCATGGGCAAGATCGACATGCCAGCGTCGGCGCGGTGAATGTCGTCGGCGCGCACGACAGTCAACGTCGCTCGGTGGACCTTCTTTTGCATGGTCTTGACTTCTTCATATTCGTCCTCGTCAGCGTCCTTAGCCGCTTCCTTGTCGTCCTTTTTGTCGTCGGCGGGGTCCGCCTCAGCATCCTTCTTGTCGTCCTTCTTCGCTTCCTTCTTGTCCTTCTTAATCTTCTTCTTCTCCACGACCTCGACTTCTTCTTCCAACGTAGCTTCCGCCTTGACGATGCTGGCCAACCCGCTGGCGTCCAACGAGAACGTGAGGGTCACCTTGGGTTCGCCCAACTGCTTGTCAGCGTGCTTGGTCGCAAAAGCTTCGATCCCTGTGATGTTGTAGCGAGAGATCAATGCCGACGTGCCAGCCGGGAGACCCGACGGCTGGTCATATCGAAATGTGCAGCTCACGTCGGTCGAGTGCGCAAACGCGACAGACTTCTTGACGTTGAGACGTTGAGATTCGCCAAACAAGGACGCGCGCTTGACCCAGTGCTTTTCCTCGGCGTCTTCATTCGTCGATGGAGCGTGCTCGTGGTGCAAATCGACAAGACGGACACCGATGGGGAACGATGCAACGTCAGTCATGCCGATGTGGCGCACGCGGAATGCCGTGCTCAAGTTGGCGCCGTGGAGGGCCGCGCCGAGAGCCATCGCTTCATCGCCGTTCAAATGGAGACCTAAGTCCCGCTCAAAGTATGTTTTGAGCACCGACTGGATTTTGGGAATGCGTACGCCACCGCCAATGATTTCAATCGCGTCAAGGTCGGTCTTGGCCAGCCCAGTCTTTTTCAGCACAGCCTCAACGGGGCCTAACGCACGACCAAACAAGTCGGCACACAACGCTTCAAACTCGCCGCGTTTGGCATTGCTCTTGAAGTCCAAATCGGCATGCAAACTCGGCACGACAACAGGGATCTCTTCGTTTGCGCTCAGCACAATCTTGGTCTTGCGGGCCGCAGCACGAAGCTTGGCCATCGCGCGTGGAACTTGACGCACGTCGTCACCCTTCTTGAGCTTTGTGTTAAACTCGTCGGCAAACTTGTCTGCGAGGCGGAGGTCAAATTGCGACCCGCCAAGGGTGTCGTCCCAAGCTTTACCGAGGACTTCGAAGTCAATAACCGTTTTGTTCTTCTTGAACCCGTCAGGCACAATGCGGCTCGAGTACTCGACCAGCGACACTTGAAGCGACGTGGATCCCATGTTGTACAAGAGCACGCGCGTCGGCTTTCCAGCTTGAGGGGTTTCGATCGCCAACGCATGTTGGAGAGCGGCGGCCGTGTTTTCGTCAATCAACGACAACACACGAATGCCAGCGATTTCCGCAGCGTCGATCACAGCTTGGCGCTGGGCTTCGACAAAGTAGCTTGGCACTGTCACTACCCAGTCCCTCACTGGGCTCTCTGCAAACTCGTTTGTGATGGTCTTTGCATGGGTGAAAACCATTGCAACAAGTTCTTCGGCGTGGAATGTGAACTGGTCGTCGTGCTTGAGGGCGACGGACCCGCGAGTGTCGTTGTGCGTCAATGTGTATGGAAAGTACTCGGACTTTACCATGGATTCGACGACAGGATGCGTCACGGTCGTCCCAAGCAGGCGGCGGATCTGAGAGTAGGCCATTTGGGGTCGACGGACTTCAATGTTCATGGCGTCAGCTCCAAAAAGGCGTTCTTCGCCATTGAATGACACGATCGTCTCGGTCTTTCGCTTGCTGTGCACATTGGTAACAATCTCAAACTGTTTGCCTGGCTTTACGAGCGCGATCTTGAAGAACTCGCCGCCGAAGTCGACACCCGCCAGGTTACTCTCCACCACGGCCGGCATGTGCACGAAGACAGCGGCAATCGCCATCAGAAACGACACAGCGGGAAGCTTCATCTTGCTGTTCTCTCGATGCGCTGTGGAAACCGAAATGAACTTGGCAACTCGCCTAAAATGCTTCGATGCCACGTGTTCTTAACATTGGGGTAAAAAATGCACGCTTTTGATTGGTTACAAAACTATCTTGATCACGCATGATTCGCTAAAATCAAAATATTTTGACCAATTAAAATTCTTATTTCGTGGGCGAATCACATTGCAAGCTTCCAAATCTCTCGAAGATTCAACCGATGCAACCTCAGAGGAAGTGTAGCCTTCCTGCGACGCGCACCCGCTCCTTCAGCATGTTAGGGGTTACGTCTACCGAAGATTATCACAACTTGCTTCGATGCGCGAGACATTGACGGACGAGAGCTGATGCCTCGACGGCCGTTCCCCACGCCAGGCAAAACCCAGACCCACCATGTCCTACACGCATCAACCACGGTCACTCGTACAACACGGACCATGAATTTGCTCAAGCAGACTACCGTAATGATGAACGAGATGACCTCCAGACGGAGTAGTCTCAACTTCGATGCGAACTCCACCCTTCCGCTCAGGCCGCAGCCCTGCACGCGCAGCAACCATCTTGGCTCGGGCAACACTTGGCACGACGAGGGCACATGTCCGTAGAATGCGTTTCGTGACTTCCTCCAGAACATCCGTGTTCCACACATTGTTCTCGGCAGTGCCGCCGCAGATGAGGTTCCCGTTTGGTCGTGGAATCATGTACGCGCCTGAATCTTCGTCGCAAATTGCAGAACGGATCCAAGGAGCGTGAACCATCACGACTTGTCCCTTGCATGGAAACATGGTAGGATCGTCTTTGAAGAGCCCCGTGCAGTTGACGACGACTGTCCCTGGCGTCGCCAACTTGCGGAGATCGACGACGTTTTGAATGTTAATATGGACGCGGCGCGCTGCCAATTGATCCTTTAGCCAGTTGAGGTAGACCCCCATGTCAGCAACGATAGCGTCATAGTGCTGCAAATGGTGAAATGAACGGAGCTCGGACGCTCCGTGGGCTTGAAGCCACTGCAACATTGCGGGAGACGTAAGATCGGAGCTTTCTCGATAGGAAGGAGCCATCGCTTTGGCAGCTATGTTCGTCTTGATTGGATGCTGACTCACGGTGATGTTTGGAACAATGTGCATGCCGCTCTCAGGATAGTCTCTACGCACGATACAATTGCATTCCCAGGAGACTTGGTTCGCATGTCATACCGCATGAGCTGCACGTATTTGCGAAACGTAGCTTCGCACCACTTCAGCACGCTTGGACTCGCTTCCATACGATAGGGAGGACTGTGTTTTGCGTTGTTGCCGTGAGAGGGGATGTGAAAGTGGGTGCACCTTACCATTCCCAGAGGGCGCCAGCAACGAATGACGTTGTCTTGTCAGGGCCGTCCTTCGCAACGATGGTGATCTGAGATGGCAAGATGCCGTCCTGTATGAGTTGGAGCGCCGTGGTGAGGCCAACGACGCCTGCGCCAACAATCACGACCGCGCTAGACATCCGTTTCTCGGCAAGATTGCAAATCCGAAAGTCAACCGTATTGAAATACCAATACAGCCGTCGCAGCAACAGATAACATTACAGAGGTTTTTAGCCGTCGCAGCAACATATAACGTTACAGAGGTTTTTTCATTCCCATGCGACCTTTCAACCTGATGGAAGTAGCGCAGCTCCAAGCGACCAAGTCGGAGCTTGAGCGAGCCTTCCTAAAGGAGCGAGATAGCTCCAAGTGGACAAAAGAGCACTATGATGAGGTTGATGACGCTGCATGGAATGACTATGTTCATTCCCATTTCCCACGCGTAGCTGTGTGTTGCCTTGGACAAGGCACTGGAATGGGGCCTCGGTGAGCCTCGCGACAAGCTCGGGATCGGCGCTGTCACGCTCGTCCAAGAGGTTCTCCATGCGTGCAACGCGTACGAGAAGGCGCAGATCAAAATTCAGTTGAGCAAGTCGATGGTGCGTTCGACAGGCAGCACATGAGTTCTCAATGGGGCGTATGGCGTGGCACTGGTAGGGCCCCGACGACATTCGCGTGTGCAACGGCAAGACTGTGATCATCGAAGAGTGCGCGCGCATCCTCAGTGGCTTGAACAACTTGAGCCAGCAGAGTTGGAACGACGCGGTTGTGGCCCCGGAGGTCAACGAACCCATCATCTTCCAAAACTCTCGAATCGAAACCATGTCCAACGACGTGCGCTCCAATGTCATCTTGGTACCTCCCGATTCGCTCTCTTTCAAGCTCTTGTCCATCGCCACGTAGATCCGAAAAGCGTATCGCCGCATGGATGGCGACATGTGGCGGGTGGAGGACGGCCTTCGCATGGTGAGCGATGCGGTGTCTCAATACGACCGCCTCGTACAACGTGTGGAGTCAGAAGTCACGTCGCGCGAGCGCTTGGAAGCCGACGCGCGCATCAACATGAACAGAACCAAGCCGCAGACGACGGCCGCCATTGCCCAAGAGATGTCACAAATCAGCAGCGGAACCAACGCGACCCCGACGTCACTGATCCATGACGACCAGCGCAGGAATACGCTGATGCAATCCGTCGCGGCGCGGGCGACTGCTATCGAGATGGTCGATCTGCAGCACATTCTTGCCGAGCAAATGCAGCAAGCAGTCGTGGCCGACGATGGGCGGCACGATGAAAAGTACGACAGATTTGATGGAAATGCCACGACAATGCCGACGGACGGCGAGGGCGAACAGTTTGCACAATCGCTCTTTGGCGACGTCGACGGCGACACAACCGACGGGGCGCAGGCAACGCCGACCACGAGCAAATTGAGAGCCAAGCGATCCCAGCGACTGCTGGAACAACGCCTGGCAACAGTGAAGCACTTGGAAGGA